CAGGACCGGGCAGGCGCAGGGGCTGCGCGGGTGACCGGGTCGGCGCGTGGAGCTGGGGGGACGAGCTGGGGGTGGGGCGCGCGGAGCGCCGTGCAGAGCGGTGCCGGGAGGGTCTCGGGGGACTGTCCCCCGGCCTCCGCTTCCGCTGCGCACCCTCTCTGCGCGCTCACGGCGCGGGGGCCCGGGGGCCGCGGCCCCGGCAGGCAGAGCTGGTGGGCAGAGCCGCGCGCTTCCTGTTCCCGGGGAACGAAGCCCCAGCAGTGAGTCACGGCCGCGCGCACCGTGGCCCGGTGGAGGCGGCTGCTGGCTGGCCGGCCTCTGCCCCCCGCGGCTCGGTGCCTGCCCCGGCCCAGCCCCGCCCCGACCTGGGGCCCAGGCTCTGGAGGAGGGCGTGTGGGCAGCGGGGCGCCGAGGCCCCCAGGGGCTCCGGCCGGCCCTCACCCCGGTGAATCCCCGAAAGGCGGGGGACGGCCTGCCCAGCGGCTGTCCACCACCCCGGCCGCGGGCCAGCAGAGGCCCCGAGGCTGCAGATGGGCCTCCCCGCCCCAGGCTGGGTCCAGCAGGAAGGGCAGGTCACGGGGCCCCGCAGGGCCCCTGCGCTGCGCCCTCAGCTCCTGCGCCAGAGCGTGGCCGGGACCGGCCCGGCGAGCCCGGCCCAGTGTTTCCTCACACAACAAGCCGAGGAGCGCGAGACAGGCAGGGCCCGCGCCAGGAGCCTGGGGAGCCTCGGACAGGCCCCGTGGCCAGCCAGGCCCCGCGCAGGCGGCGGGGCCCCCCTGGGCCCAGGGGGCGGGGCTCTGAGGCAGCCCGAGGGAGGGGCGGCCCTGAAGGGGACCCGCAGCCGGGCCTGGGACTGCAGAAGCCCAAGCCCCGGGGGGAGAGCCTGGGGGGGGGGGACGGGCAGGGGGGGGGCGTAGCTGACACTAGGCGGGGCGGGCGCCCCAGGCCAGGGCTGGGAGAGGGCAGGCAAGGAAGCGCAGCGGCCGCCCCCCGCCCCACCGCCTCCCTGAGGCCTGGGCTGCGCGGGCCCCTGCTGGCCCCCCACCGCCCTCACGGGCCCTGAGCCGCAGAAAACCCAAGGCCTCGGCGGGAGGGCACGTGGTCCAGGCGGGTGGGGCCGGGCGACGAGGAGGTCACCGCTGTCCTGGGCCAGTGGGGCAGAGTTGGCCGGTGCCCCCGGGCCCCTCCCTGGCCCGGCCCAGGCCAGAGCTGCCCCCGCCCCCCGCCCCCCGCCCCCTGCCCCCGGGCCCAGGCTGTCCCACCCTCGCGCACAGATGCGTCCTCGCTCTGTCCTCACCAGGGCTGGGGCTGGCGTGGGGACAGAGGAGGGAGGACGTGCCCCCTGCCTGTGCCCTCTGCCGCCCCCTCCCAGGCTCCCCTGGCCGCCCCGCGGGTCAGGCTTGGTCCACAGAGGCCCTGCGGCCGGCGGGTGCTCCTGGCTCGGACCCCTGAGGGCCTTGGCCGGGGGTGGGCCTGGCAATGGGTGGAGACGGGTCCTCAAGATCCCAGCCGCGCACTGAGCGGCGTCCGCCCCAGGGGAGGGCCACCTGGGACGAGACCGGCCCTCCTTTGCAGGTAGGGTCTGTGGTGGAGGGTCTCGGGGGAGATGACCCCAGGTGAGGGCTCCCTCCAAGAGGGCCATGTGGGACGTGCAGAGACCAGGGCGAGAGGCCACGAGCGAGGGACACCCGGGCCGGGGCCAGGGGAGGCTGGACCCCCCGCCCGGGGAGCGCAGCCAGAGCCGGAGTGGGGGCGCCTGTAGTCTTAAAGCCCCGGCTTGTGGCACTTTGCTCGGGCAACCCAGGACCCCGACCCCAGTGAGGTGCGAGTGTGGTTTGGGGGAGGCCCCAGTAGTCTAGGGGTGCGGAATCCAGTGGCTGCCCCTTCTCTGGTCACGAGGAATGTGCAGTCGGAAGCAGCCTGGCCCGGGGGGCAGCCGTGGCCAGGAGGCCGAGGTTCCCAGGGTCAGCATGGCCGTGCCGGGCCCCGCTGAGCTGCTTTCCAGGGTGGGTCCCTAAGTGGCTGAAAATACTCGGAAATGCCGGAAAAGAGGCGCCTCCCTCCCGGCCTTGGGAGCCTGAGCTGGCCCCCCCCAGCGGGTGCAGGACCCTGGCCAGCGGCCAGACAAGGAACATAGCCCCGGCGGTCATGGCACATGGACCCCCAAGGGCAGCAAGGGGGGTGCAGGCGGGAGGAGGGGCGTGGGAAGGGGTCTGCAGGTGCAGAGGTGCAGGGGCCGTCAGGAGGTCCCTTCTTATAGCTAGACCGGCTGTGCCTGGCCCCCAGGCCCCCTCCAATGCCCCCAGCCCCTGCCCACAGCAGGTGCCACTCAGGGGCATGGAGAGGGCAAAGTGAGGTCACCCCAGGAGCGGCCTCCTGCTCGCCTGCCCCAGACCCCACGCTGCAGGGTGCCCCGCCCTGCCCAGCTGCCGCTCTCGCCTAGGCCTGGCTCCGCCCTCTGTCTGTCTGTCTGTCTGGCCCACTGCTCTAGGCCCCCTCCAGGGTGACCTCCTAGGGCCCGTGACAGCTCAGTCGTTCCCCTGGCCGTGGCACTGGTGCGGGGGGCGTCCGCGGCCCCGGCCTTGGTGCCGGCCCGCAGCAGACCCCGTGCGCAGGCCGCCCGCGGGGCCGGGCCTCTCCTCCTCCTGGCCGCTGGGCGCCGGCGCCGCGGGCCAGGAAAAGCCTTGGCCTCGCGGCTGGGCGCGGCGCTCCCGGCTTTCCAGGTCTATGACGGTGCGGCCCGGCCCCGCTGCGGCTGCCTCGGAGAACTCGTTGTTTTTTTTTTAAATTTTTATTTTTATGTAGAAGAGCCGGGGTGCAGGCCAGAGTTGGGGGGCGTGGTGGTGAGAGGACTCCCCAGAGTCCCAGACTCCCCAGAGGCTGAGCGGGGAGCAGAACAGGCGGCCCCACCGAGACACACTGCTGAGGGGCAGCGGGGACACGGGAGGGTCTGCCGCGCCCTGTGGGTCACTCCCTGGCCGGGGTCGAGCTCAGGCGGAGACTAAGCCCTGTGCCTCCAGGGAGGCCCCCGGTGAGCTCTTTATCGTGAAAAATTCTTGTGGAACTTCTCATACCTTCTCCGCCCTAAAGGCTCTCGGCCCCAGGGGCGCGTCCTGGGGAATGACCTGGGCTCCGCCGAGAGGCAGAGCATCTTCATCCGGGGTCATGACACCCCACTGTGAATGGGGCAGCACCTGCTTCTGCCCCTTCCTCACCTGCAGGTCTCCATCACGCTCACACCTTGCTCCGGCGACGTTCGCTCCGGGTCTGTCGTGCGACCAGGTCACGCATCGCCACCGGGCCCCCCGGGCCCCGGCCCAGCCCGCCGCCTCGCCCACCCTCACGCCCGTGTCCCACGTCCCGCGTGGCGGCTGCCCTGGCTCGGGGCCCTGGCCGGTCTCTGCATCTCTGGGCCGATGCCCCTCACCGGCCCGGCGTCCGGCGTCCTGGGGCGGATGTCCTCTCCCACGCAGGAGTCGCTGCCGAAAACGGCCCCCGCCGCCCCGCCGCCCCGAGCGTCCTGTCTGTCCCTGCAGGCCCCGCTGTGTAAGCAGAGGCCGCCCGGCAGTGAGGCCCGCCCCCCGCTCCCCTGGCGCCCGGAGCGGGCATTCTCGGCGGCTCCGGGCGCCCCGAACACGCGTGAGTGCCTGGGGCTCTGGTGCTCTGCGTCCTCCCCCGCACATGGCGGCCCCGTGCTCGCGGCCCTCTCCCCCACGGCTGGGGGCCTGGGTCGGCCAGCAGCCTCCTGGTGCAGCCGGGCCCCCGCTGACCAGGGCGGGCCTGCCCTCTCTGCCGCCCGCTGTGAGACACCGACTGACCGACCTCCCCGCCCCCTGCGTCTACGCGAAGCTCTCGAGGGTTCTTCTGCTCGAGGGGCCGGCACCTGCCCGCCCTCCTCTCAGCACCTGCCCGCTCTCCTACGGGCACCTGCCCGCTCTCCTACGGGCACCTGCCCGCCCCTCCTCCCCTCCTCCCAGCACCTGCCCGCCCCCCGCCCCGTCTTCCTCCGTCCCGAAGCCCTCGCCTGTGCGGGCCGTGGTGAGGTGCTCGCCACCCCGCCCCACGCCGCCCAACTGCTTTCTGGCGTGGCTGCCCCCCAGGGCCCCTCCTGCCCCAGACGCCTCCCCCAGACATGCAGCCCCCCCACCCTGGTCCCCAGGGCAGGCCCTGCAGGGGTGTCCTGCCCCCCCACTGCCGTCCACGCGCAGCCGGAGCCGGCGGCCATGAGTCCACCCTTGGGTGCACGGAACCGCGGGCTCCCGGGACCTGGGGCCTGAAGCCCCCCGGGGCAGGTGGGGTGTCTGGGGCCTCTGATGCAGACCCTCCTTTGTCCCCGGCAGGGCGCAGGTGTAGGTGCACACGGGGCTCCCCTGACTCAGTGCCGCGGGGGCCGGGTGCACCGAGGCGCCTTCCTGCACAGCCTGGGGCGATGCCAGCCCCGAGGCTCACCCACCGGGTCGCGTGGGGGAGCAGGCGGGGGAGGGGGGTGCAGTCGGGCACCAGGCGGGGACCCCGCTCCCAGAGCAGCTGCAGGTGCGGAACCGCGTGGACCCCGCCTTGCGCCCGGCGCCCCCCCCCCCCCCCCCCCCGCCCACGCCTGCTGGTGGCCACCCGCCGTCACCTGGGCAACCCTTCCAGGGCCGGGGCCTGGTGGGCGCAGGGGGAGGAGCGGGTCGGCGGCGGGGCTCCAGGCAGACCCAGGCAGGAGTCGCGGGGCCCTGCGCCTCGGCGGGAAGCCCCCGGCCCGCAGCCCGCCCTCCTCCAGCAGACAGACCCCGCCTGCCCGCGACGCTCCTCCGGGTCTCAGGCTCCCGCTCGCGCGCGGGCCCAGGGGCCAGCGGGGGGCGCCTGCAGGGCCCGCGGAGGCTCCCGCGCGGCTCTGTGTCCCCCGCCCTCGGCCGTTCCACTGCGGCGGCGCGGGGAGCGGAGCGGGAGCCGGGGCGGGCGAGATGGTAGGGCCCGGCCTCCCCGCGCCCGCGCGCCGCGAGCGCTCCCGCAGGATGGCGCGGGCCAAGCTGCAGCGCTCGCCCTCTGAGGGCAAGGCGGGCCCTGGGGGCGCCCTGGCAGGAGGCTCGGCCCCCGAGGAGCCGCACGGGCTCAGCCCGCTGCTGCCGGCCCGCGGCGGGGGCTCCATGGGCAGCGACGTGGGCCAGAGGTAGGGCCGGGAGGGGCTTGCATCCCGCTGCACCTGCCGCCCGCCGGCAGCCCTGGGAGGAGGGGGGCCGGGCCCGCCCCCAGAACCCCCACCCGAGCACCCGCCCCCGCCGGCTCCAACCAGCCTGGGGAGCCTGTGGGGCCCGCGGCATCCCGCCCCGAGGCTGAGCCCAGCGGGCGGCGTGGGACTGGAGGGAGAGGGAAGCCCCGTCCCGAGCGGGCTCTGTCCCGCTCCGCGGGGCGGCGGGCGGCGTGTCCCGGCCAGAGGGCAGCAGCGGGGCCGGGGTCGGGGGTCGTGGGCCGGCCGGGCGGGCACAGAGGCGGGAGCACAGCAGAGTGGGGGCACAGGCCCCAGCCATGGCAGCCGGGGTCCGGCTCCCTAGGGAGGGAGCCCCAGGGAGGGCCACAGTGCACCCCCCTCCAGCCCCCGGAGCCAAGCACCCCACCTCCTGGATGAGCACGTTGAGTCTCGGCCTGTGGCGCTCGCCCGCGGGCACCTGCCCCACGGAGCCCTTAGGTGCTGCGGGGACAGATGAGTCAGCCCGCGAGTGGGCACATGTGGGCGGGAAGCTGCGCAGGAGGCGCAGGTGGGGAGGGCCCGGCGCGAGGGGGTGCCTGGGGCACTGGCCCTTCAGGGAGGGGCCAGGACGTGAGCAGGGCCCCCCCAGCAGCATGGTCGGGGGGCAGAGCCTCGGAGGGGGTGCCGCGCTAGGGTTGGGACTGGTTGGCAGAGATGCAGCCTGGCAGATGGCAGGACCTCGGAACCTGGGGTGCCCTCCTGCCCCCCTCCCCCCCACATTTCCTGCTCCTCCAAACCCCTGGGAGTGCTGCCCAGGGCGATGCCCACTTGCCAGAGGGGATAGTTAAGGCTGGAGATAAGTGCCACTAACAGGCCTTCTTAGTCCTCGAACAGCTAATGGACTGTCCACGGGCAGGAGGGAGGCGAGAGCTGGCCAAGGACCAGGGGCCCCATTCCTGACACTCCAGCCTCTTCCTGGATGCTGCGGGGGCAGCGACCCAGACACTGCTGACAGCCAGCCCGGCCCCGCCCGGCCCCATGGGCGCGGGCACGGTGGGTCCTGCTCCAGCTGCCCCCAGCTCTCGTGCCGCCCGGGAGCCGCAGCTGCTTCCCCCAGGAGGTCCCCCCGCCACGCCTGCGCTGGGCCCTGCAGCCCCCACCGAGCAAGGGCTCTAAGGCTGCCCGCAGCCTCAGCTCGGAGCCCCGCGCCCTGGCACCGGCCCCCCACCTCAGGCACAGGAGCAGCAGGCCCGCGGAGGCTGCCAGCCGAGGACTCCCGGGCCTGCTCTCCAGGAACCCGGCCCGGCAGGGCCCAGCACCACCTGAGTGGGACGCGGTGCCCTCCGCCAGAGCGCCGGCCAGTGCCCACCACACCGAGCCAGCCAGGGCCGCTCCCTGGGCTGGGCCGTGCCCCCCAGCTCTGGGCCTCCCGGAGGCCCGGCCACTGCTGGGCAGAGGGGCCGCATCACGGACGCACCTGCTCCCAGCCATGCAGGGCGCCCTGCTGGCGGGGTCGTGGGCCAGCATGAAGCCCTCCCCACCCTCCGGTGCCCATCGAGGGGTCCGGCGAAGCCCTCCCAGGCTGGTGGGGTGGCGGGCAGGGGCGCCCAGATGTGGCTCGGGCCCAGCCAGGTGCGCTGGCCCGGCAGGTGGCAGGAGAGGCGGGCCCGGCCGCTGCTCGGGGTTCTGCCTCACGGTGCCCGAGGGGGCGCTGCTGAGGGGGCTGGGAGGAGGGGTGGCAGGCGGGGCGCAGGCAGCTCTGTGAGCTGCTGAATCTGGGTATGGGGCACCCTCCACAGCATTCCGGGGTGCCCGTGACCTTGGCTGGGGAGGAGGAGCTCACCCAGAGTGGGTTTGGGGAGAAGGGGGAACCCAGCTGGTGGGCCTGGTGGGGAGGATGGGGAGAGGCCGGTGGGAGGGGACCAGGCACCCCAGGCTCTAACTCAGGGCCTGGCTCCGCCCGCATCTGTCCGTGAGGGTGGGGGCGGGGCGGACGCCGCTGTGGGGGAGGCTCCCGGGAGTGCCTGTGGACTGGGGGGGGCTGTGAAGGGCAGTGAGGCCCCCCTGGTGCCTGCCCCCCTGCCAGCTCTGCCAGCGAGCTTGTCCGCCCTGCACCGCGCCGGGGGGCCCCCACCCCGCCTGCCCCTAGCCCCGGCCCTCCCTGGGTCCAAACTGCCCCCGCCCGCGGGCCTCCTGCCGCCTGTCCGCGGCTGCCCGCCACCCGCCCGCTCCCTGGCCCCGGGCTCCGCGTCGGGGATTTCAGCCTCGACGCCTCCCCGTCCCAGTGAGTGCCGCGGGGCTGCCTGGAGCCGCAAGGGCAGCTGCCCCGGACTCGGCGGCCGGGGCGGGCAGCAGGGCCCAGCACGCGTCACGTGCGAGTGACCGACGCGGCGGCCGGCGCTCCTGCCCGCGCCTCGGCGGAGGTGGCTGGGCGCTCAGCCTGGCCCTTGGGACGCCCCGGGGGGCACCTCTGTGCGGCCCTGGCGGTGTCTGCGCGCTGGACGGCAGTGGCCAGAGGGCGGGCAGGCCCGGCTGCGGCCGCCTGAGAGCTTGCGCCCGCCTTATGGTACGGGGCAGGGGGCGGGGGAGGCCCACACCCTTGCCAGGCACCTGCCACCCAGTGTCGCGGTGCGGGAGGAGGCCGCCCTGGGCGCCGCCAGCCCTCCCGTGCCTGTGGGCAGGGACACAGGCCAGGGACCACTTCTGTGGCCGCAGGAGGGAGCGGCCGCCAAGCCCGCGGGGCAGGAGGGCGGGGCTGGGAGCGGGGCTGCTGCGGTCAGCGCCTCGCCAGGCTGATGCTGTGGTTGAGGCCGGGGGGCCGGCTGGCCACTCACTGCCGGGGTCTCGGGCTCCACGTGGGGAGGCTGGGGCGGGGGGGTGAGGTCTGGGAGGAAGCGGCTGGCAAGGCCCTAGCCCTGGGGCAGCGGGTCCCACCCCCTGGGGTGCTGAGCAGAGGGGAGACCCTCCTTTGGGGCTTTGTGGGAAGGAGCAGGAGGAGGCGTTTCCAAGCAGGTGCCTCGGGAACACTGGGGTCTCTCCAGGACACCCAGCTTCTGCAGGAGCCGAGGCTCTCGAGGGGCATCTGCCTGCCCCGCCAGCCCCGGCCAGGCTTGACCCCCTGTCCGAGCGCCCCTCCCCCCAGACCCGCCCCAGGCGGAACCCACAGAGCAGGGTGGGGCTCGGGCTCAACCTGAACTGGGAGGGCAGGGGGGCGAGGAAAGGAGCCTTGCTGGGGTGGGGTAGGGTGCTCTGGGACCGTGAGGTATGCTGGGGTGCAAGGGGGTGTGCTTGGGTTTAGTGGGGTATGCTGAGGTGTTGGGTGCAGTGGGGTGTGCTGAGTACTATGGGGTGCATTGGATACAGTGGGATGTGCTGAGATGCTGGGTGCAGTAGGTATACTGGGGTGCAGTGGAGTGTATTGGGGTACAGTGCTGTATGCTGGGGTGCAGTGGGGTGTGCTGAGATGCTGGGGTGCAGTAATTGTGTGTTGGGGTGCACTGACCATGACCGAGGCTCGGCCCCGGTCTGGCCACCCCCGGTCTCTGCCCCCGGCCTGGGGGAGGCCCATCCTGCCGCCAATCCCAGGAGCCCGCCGTGTGGCCAGAGCCCCCCAGCAGGAGCTGGGCGGTCAGGGCCCCTCCTGAGCTGTGGGGGGGCCTGGTGGGGGTGGCAGAGGGCTGTGTCCAGGCCCCTCCGCGAGGAGCAGGCCCAGGAACGGTGCCTCGCAGACTTGGGGTGGGGCGACCCCGGCCGCAGTGCGCTGACTTCAAGGCCCAGACGCCCACCCCTCCCCCCCGCCTGCAGGGTGATGACGGGGTGGGGGGCGCGGGGGGACTGGGAGACTGGGCTGGGCAAGCGCCCCTGCCTGCCCCTGGCTGTGGGCGGCTGCCCTGGGTCCGTCCGCACCACCCCCTCCTCCAGGCAGCCCCCCAGATCCCCGCCAGCACGACGGTGCCTTCGGGTGCTCCGAGGCCGTTGCCTCCTGTCCCAGGACCGCCGCGGCATGGACCGCGGGTGCCAGCCCGCCTCACCTGGGCCTCCTGTCACGCCCCCGTGCCCCTCTCGGCCCGCAGGGTCCAGGTGGAGTTCTACGTCAACGAGAACACCTTCAAGGAGCGGCTCAAGCTGTTCTTCATCAAAAACCAAAGATCCAGTGAGTGTGGCCGGCGGGGGGCTGGCGGGGGCGAAGGGTCCAGCAGCACCTGGGGAGGCCCAGCTCTCGTGCCTTCCCCGGGCAGCGAGACCTGGGCCTTGGGGCCCCGCCCCAACCAGCCAGCGCCCCCCTCCACCCCCCGCGGGTCTGCCGGGTCGGCTGAGCGTCCGAGTCCAGCGGCGCTGCGGAGCCTGACGCCAGCCGCCCGCAGGCCTGAGGATCCGGCTGTTCAACTTCTCGCTGAAGCTGCTCAGCTGCCTGCTGTACATCGTCCGCGTCCTGCTGGACGACCCCACCCAGGGCATCGGCTGGTGCGTGGCCTGTGGGCAGCCGCCCCGCCCTGGCTCTGACCTCGGGAGCCCTCCCTGCCCTGACGAGGCCCGTCCCCCGTCTGTCCCCTGCAGGCGGGGCCCGGCCTCAGGCCTTGGCGCGCGGAGGCCCCTGGGGGTTGGCGGGGCCTGCCGCCTGGTCCCCGGTGTCCCCGGTGTCAGCGCCGCCTGGTCCAGATGCCTTGGGAGGGGGAGGGGCACCCCGCCGCCCGGAGCCACAGCACCGGGGCGGGTCCGGGGCGGGCACCGTGGGCCAGCTGTGTGTCTCCGCAGCTGGGGCTGCCCGAAGCAGAACTACACCTTCAACGAGTCGTCGTCGGAAATCAGCTGGTGAGCCGTGGGCTGGGCGGGCGGGCGGGGGGCGCTCAGCCCGGCCCCTCGGGACCACGCCCAGGCCAGCCCGCGAGCCCCCGGTGCTCGAGGAGGCCGGCTGCGCCCGCCGTCACCAGCCGCCGCAGGGACAGCCGCGGGGCCGCCCTGCCGTGGGGCGGGTCACCCCCTCCCCTTCGCCCCCTCCCATGGCCCCCCGCCATCGCGCTGCACGCAGGGAGGGCGGGCGGGCAGGGCCGGGGCTGCGGCCTATGCCCCGCCGCCCGGTCAGTTAGGGCGCATCCCGGGTCTCGGCGCATGTCCGGGGCGGCAAAGCTCCCCGCAGCCTCGCGGGCTCCCCAGTGCCCAGAGCCCGAGTTCATCAGATGAGGGCTGGTCCCCTCTTTCCTGGGGGACCTCCCCGTCCTGTGCTTTGGCCCCTCTGGGGGCGCCGGGGGGCCCACCATGGCTGAGGCTCAGCGCTCTCTCCAGGGCCCCCATCTTGTGGGTGGAGAGGAAGATGGCCCTTTGGGCCATTCAGGTGAGTGGGGGCTCCGGCTCGGGGGGGGGCTCGGGGGGGACGGTGAGGCCAGACTCCGCCGCTGCCCCCAGCCCTGCTCAGAGGCTCCTCCCCCAGGTCATCGTGGCCATCATCAGCTTCCTGGAGACCATGCTCCTCATCTACCTCAGCTACAAGGCCAGTCCCCCCCGGGGAACCCCCCCGGACCCCCGGCCTCCCCACCCTCCCGGACCCCCACCCCTCCTGCCCTCTGCCCCCGGGGACTCCGCCCCGCCCGGCCCGCTCTGAAGGCTCGCTCGGCCCCCAGGGCAACATCTGGGAGCAGATCTTCCGCGTGTCCTTCGTGCTGGAGATGACCACCACGCTGCCCTTCATCCTCACGGTGGGTGAGCCGCCTGCGGGGGGCGCCCCGAGCCCGCAGCCCCTGACCGGACTCCTCCACAGATATTCTGGGCGCCGCTCCGGAACCTCTTCATCCCGGTGTTCCTGAACTGCTGGCTGGCCAAGCACGCGCTGGAGAACATGATCGTGAGCTGGCCCTGCGCCCCGGCCCGCCCCGGCCCCCGCCCCGGGCCCCACCGCGCAGCCCGGCGGGCAGGATGGCCCCGCGTCTCCAGACCGGGGAAGGGGCTTTCCAGGCCAGGTGGCCTCGAGGCAGCCTGGTCCCGTGGTGGTGGGGGGGCCGGGGGGGGCCAGGGGCCCGGCCGCACACACAGGCCTGTGTCTCAGAGAGGGCAGCTCCTGCGGTGAGTGGACCTGGGGCAGCCGCCAGCCCCTCCCCAGCTGTGCGGCAGGGCCACGCCGTGGCCCCTGGCTCTGGCTTCGTCCTGGCCTGGCCCCACCCGTGGGTGGGTGTCCCGGGCGGGCGGTGGGCGGCCTGGGCCCTCGGGGCCGGGCTGACGCTCACGCTCCGCAGAACGACTTCCACCGCGCCATCCTGCGCACGCAGTCGGCCATGTTCAACCAGGTGCTGCTGCTCTTCTGCACGCTGCTGTGCCTGGTCTTCACGGGGTGAGCCCGCGGCGGGCGCTGCTGCGGGGCGGGGGCGCGGGAGGCGGTCCGGGCCTCCCCAGGACCCGGCGGGGCTGGCACCCGACCCTTAGTGGCCGCGCTGGACACGCAGGAGCCGGCGCCTCTCAGCTGAGGTGCCCCCACCTCTCGCCGCCCGCTCCCTGGCCACCCCCACGCCCCCGCCTCAGAGCCGCCCCCGGGGCCCTGTCAGAGGCCCAGACCGGCCGTGGAGGCCCCCCCGACCCCTCGGGGTGCCTGGCTGGCCCTTGGGTGCCGAGGCCCCCCGGGCAGGCGGGCTCCGCCCAGGGCAGCCCTGCCCAGCCTGCGCCCCCGGCCCGCAGGACCTGCGGCGTGCAGCACCTGGAGCGCGCGGGCGAGAACCTGTCCCTCCTGACGTCCTTCTACTTCTGCATCGTCACCTTCTCCACCGTGGGCTACGGCGACGTGACGCCCAAGATCTGGCCGTCGCAGCTGCTGGTGGTCGTCATGATCTGCGTGGCCCTCGTGGTGCTGCCCCTGCAGGTGGGCGGCGGGGCTCGGGGGACGCCAGGACCGGGGAGGCCTGGGAGGCTCCTTCGGGAGGAGGCGGGGCCTGGAGGGGCCTGTGGCAGGGCCCTGAGACGGGCGGGCCCAGGAGCCGGTGGGCAGAGGGCGGGGGCGCCAAGGGGACCTCACAGCGGGGGAGGCGCCCGACCGGCTCCCGCTGCCCCCGGCGGGCCGGGCCCTGCCCCGGCACACGGTCCTGCCGCGGCCCCACCGGGGAAGGGCCCCGACGGTCGCCGTCCCGCAGTTTGAGGAGCTCGTCTACCTGTGGATGGAGCGGCAGAAGTCGGGGGGCAACTACAGCCGCCACCGCGCGCAGACGGAGAAGCACGTGGTCCTGTGCGTCAGCTCCCTCAAGATCGACCTGCTCATGGACTTCCTCAACGAGTTCTACGCCCACCCCCGGCTGCAGGTGCCCGCCCGCCGCTGCCCGCGCCCTGGCCCCCCGCCGCCCGCCCTGGCCCCCGCCCTGGCCCCCGCCCGCCCTGGCCCGGCGTGCTGACCGGCCCCTCCGCAGGACTACTACGTGGTCATCCTGTGCCCCACCGAGATGGACGTCCAGGTCCGCAGGGTCCTGCAGATCCCCCTGTGGTCCCAGCGGGTCATCTACCTCCAGGGCTCCGCCCTCAAGGACCAGGACCTCATGCGGGCCAAGTGAGCGCCCCTGCGAGCCGCCGGGCGCGGGCGGGCCCGGGCAGCGGTGGGGGCGGCGGGTTTCTCTTCCAGACAGGCGGGTGCGGCGCCTGGAGGTGCCGAGACTGTTGTTGGTGGAACTTTCCAGAATGTGGGGGGCACGTTCTCACTGCAGGGGCGTTGACTCCCCTTCTCGCTGAGACCTAGGGGCGTGGCGCTGGGGGGGCAGAGGCTGGGCGCCGGGTCCCCACCTCCCGGCCCAGGGCCTCACGGCCTCACCCCAGTTGGGGAAGGAATCAAGCCCCGCCCTGAGGCAGGGGTGACCGGCACGAAGCTGCTCGTGCTCCTGTCATCCAGGTCCACTGGCGGCTGGGCAGCCCTGCCTGGGAGGGGGCAGGACAGCAGGGGTGTCCGGCATGTCCGCCACCAAGAATGGCCCTCCTGCCCACACGGCCGCCCTCCATGGGGCACCGGGGTGGAAGGTGCCCCGAGAGGGGGTCTCCGCACGGCCCGTCCTCCATCCTCTGCAGTGGGCCCCAGACAACGGGTGGGGAGCGTGGACATGCGGTCGCCCTGGCTGGTGTCCCCTCTGCAGGATGGACAACGGGGAGGCCTGCTTTATCCTCAGCAGCCGCAACGAGGTGGACCGCACGGCGGCGGTGAGTGTGCCCCGCCCCGGCAGAGCCCGCCGCGGCCGCTGCCCGCTCACCCGGGCCCCGGGCAGGGCCCCCCGCCGGCCGGCCGGTGCCCACTGACCGCCCTCCCCCCCCCCAGGACCACCAGACCATTCTGCGGGCCTGGGCCGTGAAGGACTTTGCCCCCAACTGCCCGCTGTACGTGCAGATCCTCAAGCCGGAGAACAAGTTTCACGTCAAGTTTGCGGGTGCGCCTTGGGGCACGCGCGGGCACTTGGAGCGCTGGGCGCGGCCGGGGGCAGCCTCGGCCCCGGGCCGGCGGGGGCATGGGCGGCTGGAGCCCCTCCGCTAGGCCCGTGGACGTCCCTGGGCCCCGGGGGGCGGGTGGGGGCGCGGGCGCCGGCGGGGCTGGGGGGCGCGGGCGCGGGCGCAGCCTGGGGGGGCGCGGGCGCGCGCGCGGCAGCCTCCCTCCCACGTCCCTCCCGCCGTGGTGCGAGGAGGAGTGCAAGTTCGCCATGCTGGCCCTCAACTGCATCTGCCCCGCCACGTCCACGCTCGTCACGCTGCTGGTGCACACGTCCCGCGGCCAGTGAGTGCGGTGGGCGCCGGGTGGGCGCTGGGGGGGGCCCGGGAAACCCGACGGGGAGAGGACGGTGGGGGGGCGGGGACCGCACCCAGGGGCCGGCGGGCCGGGCGCGGGGCTCCCGGAGAGCGGGGGGTGGGGCGGGGCCGGAGCCCCCGGCTGAGGCCAGCACGGGGACGGGCGCCCGACGGTTGGGGGGGCGCGTTTGTCGCCCGGCGTGTGGGCCCGGCCCGAGGCAGGGGGTGCTGGCACGGGAAGGGCCGCTGTCCTCTCGCCCGGAGACCCGGACGTGGGTCCTCGCTCCTGCGGGGCCGGGGGCGCCTGGGGCAGCACGAGGCCGGGGAGGGGTCCGCCCGGCCCCAGCGGCGGCCAAGGCCAGTGTGGCCCCGGGGAGCTCAGACAGCCGTGCTCGCGGCCTCTGGGAACCCAGAGCTGCGCCGCGGCGCGCCCAAGTCTCGGCCGGAGGCGGGGGTCGGGCCGGGCGGCGCGGCATGGCGGCTGGCAGGGCCCCCCGCCCGCAGGGAGGGCCAGGAGTCGCCGGAGCAGTGGCAGCGCATGTACGGGCGCTGCTCGGGGAACGAGGTGTACCACGTGCGCATGGGCGACAGCAAGTTCTTCCGCGAGTACCAGGGCAAGAGCTTCACCTACGCCGCCTTCCACGCGCACAAGAAGTACGCGGCTGCGGGGGGGCGGGCCGGGCCCAGGCTGCCCCCCCACCGGCCCCCCTTTAGAGGCTCGGGTGACGCTGACCTCCGGGCTGGGGGGGGGCGGGCCGGGCCCAGAGCCTGACCGCAGGCGGGGTGTCCCGGGCGCCAGCCGCGAGGCCGCGGGGCGGCTTGGGGCAGACGGGCCGCCCCCCCAGGTACGGCGTGTGCCTCATCGGGCTGAAGCGGGAGGAGAACAAGAGCATCCTGCTCAACCCCGGGCCGCGGCACACGCTGGGCGCCTCGGACACCTGCTTCTACATCAACATCACCAAGGAGGAGAACTCGGCCTTCATCTTCAAGCAGGAGGAGCAGCAGCAGCAGAAGGGCCGCCAGCGGCGCCAGGGCTCGGCGCGCCTGCCGGTGCACAGCGCCATCGCCTCCGTGGGTGAGTCCCGGGACGCCCGGCCCCTCTGCGCGCGGGGAGGGCCGCCGGCCAAGCCCGCCTCTGCCGCAGGGACGGTGGCCATGGACCTGCAGAACGCCGAGTGCCGGCCGGCCCCGGGCGGCGGGGACGGCCCGGGCGGCAAGCTGGCGCTGCCCACGGAGAACGGCTCGGGCAGCCGGCGGCCCAGCATCGCGCCCGTCCTGGAGCTGGCCGACAGCTCGGCCCTGCTGCCCTGCGACCTGCTGAGCGACCCCTCCGAGGACGAGATGACGGCCTCGGAGGACGAGGGGCTGTCGGCGGTGGAGTGAGTGGGCGGCGCACGGCTCCCGGGAGGGACGGGCCTGGCCCCCGCCCCCGCGCCTCTCAGCGCTGCCCCCGCGGCTCCCAGGCTGTCTGCACCGGGGGCCCTGTGGGTGGGCGGGCACGTGTGGGTGTGCAGCGGGCAGGCGCCACGGCTGCGTCCCCTGCTCCAGGTTTGTGTGTGTCCACGCGTGTCCCGGTGCTGGGTTTTGCGTTGCGGGCGATCCCCCCGGGCCCCCGGGGAATGTCCTCCCGGCCCCACCCGGCACGGCCAGGGGAGGAGCTGACCGCAGGGGTCGGAGGCCTTCCTGGGCCGGGGGCGGGGCTGCCGCGGGGACCCTGGGCAGGCGCAAGTGCCTAGGGGCCACCCAAGACCAGGCCAAGCAGGCTGGCGGCTGAGGGCCCGTCTCCACCCAGGTACGTGAAGGGCTACCCCCCCAACTCGCCGTACATCGGCAGCTCCCCCACCCTGTGCCACCTGCTGCCCGTGAAAGCCCCGTTCTGCTGCCTGCGGCTGGACAAGGTAGGCGCCGCCCTCTCGCCCCACCCCCACCTCCGCGTCTCCGCCTGGCTGTGACCTCGCGGGGCAGCCCTGGCCTGGCCGGCCTCACCCGGCCTCACCCGGCCTCACCCGGCGCTCCAGCGGTCCTTCCTCCCGGGACACCAGGGCGTTTAGAAACCCAGGCCCCGGCCTCCAGCGCGCTGGCCGCCACGGTCAGCCCGCACTTGCCAGGACCCGGCTCCGTGCTCCCCCTGGAGCCCGGGCGCCCCCCTCGCCCCTCCGCTGGTGCCCGCCGGGCCATGGCGGGGCGGCCGGGCGCGGGCGGCGGTGAGAGGATGGGGCCGTGGGACTGGCCGGCGGGTGTTCCCGGGAGACCCCTGCCCTCGACCGGCACCCCCAGGGCTGCAAGCACAACAGCTATGAGGACGCCAAGGCCTACGGCTTCAAGAACAAGCTGATCATCGTGTCGGCCGAGACGGCGGGCAACGGGCTGTACAACTTCATCGTGCCGCTGCGCGCCTACTACCGCCCGCGCAGGGAGCTCAACCCCATCGTGCTGCTGCTGGACAACAAGTGAGGCCCAGGGCCGGGACCCCGCCCCACCCCCGGCCCAGCGTCCCTCTTCTGCAAGCGAGGGCCTGGGGGGCGGGGGCGGACGTTGCCGGACCCCAGCTGTCCGCCTGCAGCTCCGGCCTCGGGCCTCACCTCCGCTTCCCGCACCCTCTTGTCCCTGATGGGGCCCATCTGCCCCCCTCGTGGTTCTCTCGACCCTAGGACCCCCGGGTGTGAGCCCGGGCCCGGGGCCCCTGGCTGGCCACCTCGGCAGGGCGCACCCCGGGCTCGGTTTCCCCTTGGGTAAGATAGAGGCCCGTAAAGGCCCCTGGTGGATGTGCCGGGGCAGGGTCGCCCCCCCAGGGCCAGGCAGGCGGCAGCCCCCCCAGGCCCCGCTGTGCCCGCAGGCCCGACCACCACTTCCTGGAGGCCATCTGCTGCTTCCCCATGGTGTACTACATGGAGGGCTCTGTGGACAAGTGAGCGCCGGCCTCCGCGGGGGGCGGGGGGCAGGGGGCGCCCGCGTGCCCGCAGGGGCCCAGGACCGCGCGTCTCCCCAGCCTGGACAGCCTGCTGCAGTGCGGCATCATCTACGCCGACAACCTGGTGGTGGTGGACAAGGAGAGCACCATGAGCGCCGAGGAAGACTACATGGCGGACGCCAAGACCATCGTCAACGTGCAGACCATGTTCCGGTGAGCCGGCGCCCCCGCGGCCCGCCCGCCCCCGCGCCGCCGCCCCGGCCCGGCCCGCGCCCACCGGAGCCCCTCCCCCAGGCTCTTCCCCAGCCTCAGCATCACCACGGAGCTCACCCACCCGTCCAACATGCGCTTCATGCAGTTCCGGGCCAAGGACAGCTACTCGCTCGCCCTCTCCAAACTGGAAAAGGTGAGCGGCCCCAACCCCCTCTGACCTTCCCCCTCGGGCTCCCCAATTTGCTGAGCTGGGGGGCTTCAGAGACCTGCGGCCACTCCCCGAGCCTGGAGGAGCGGGTGGGGGGTCACGGGTTGCCAGCCCCCTGAGCTCTGCAGGGAGCGCCTGTGAGAGGCTCCTGTGCAGCCCCGAGCTTTGGGGGCCTGTCTGGGGTGGGGCTGTGTGTGGTGCGCAGCGCGCCCCCAGGCCCTGTGCAGGGCAGGGGGGACAGCCCCCGCCGGCGAGTAGTCAGGCGACAGCAGCCGAGGCGGGGAGAGGGCGCAGAGCTGGCCTGGGCACTGGAGGGCGGGGGCAGAGCTGCGTCAGGGTCCAGTCTCTGCTGCTCGGGGCTGGGGAAGGGCCCGGGAGCCTCAGGCAGGGGTGGCCCGGCTGAGGGGGTGTCCCCTGCGTGCTTGCTGACCTTCCCAGGGCCCCAAGAGCCCAGAGAGGGCGGGTGCATGTCGGGGGCGCAGACTGTCCCCTGGCTGGGCGGGACAGGGAGCCCACATGAGGCCGCACCGCCCGGGCGGGAGCTGGGGCTGAAGCCCAGTGCTGGCCCTCAGGGTCCCGGCTGCCCAGACCTGTGCTCAGGACCTGTCCGGCCGCTTCCTGCTGAGGGGGAAGGGAGCGGCTTCCCTTGGGGGTGTCCGGCCCTGGACGCAGATGCGGGCACCCTGGGTGCAGCCAGCCCCACGGGTGTCCAGGTGTCCTGGCCGCACAGGCGGGGGGTGTGCGGGGGGCTGCAGCCGTGGCCCGTGGGTCCCACTGACCCCGCCGCGGCAGGGCGGGACCGTGCAGGGGCCGAGGAGGTGCCCGCCGGGCGGCAGGCGTCTGCGGGTCTCCGTGGGCCCGTCTCGGGCGGCGGCCCAGGCCGGCCGGGCTCCGCAGGGCGCCGGCTCACCCCCTTTCCCGCAGCGGGAGCGGGAGAACGGCTCCAACCTGGCCTTCATGTTCCGCCTGCCCTTCGCCGCCGGCCGCGTCTTCAGCATCAGCATGCTGGACACGCTGCTCTACCAGGTGGGGGGCCCGGCGGCCGGCGCGTCCCCACCTGTCCCCACGGGCCTGCGGGCGGGCTGCGTGGGCCGGAAGGGCGGGGTGACGCGCGCCTGGCTGGGGGGCAAAGGCAGACTCCCTGCGCCCCTCCCGGCCAGTCCTTCGTGAAGGACTACATGATCTCCATCACGCGGCTGCTGCTGGGCCTGGACACCACCCCGGGCTCGGGATACCTCTGCGCGGTAAGCGGCGTGGGCGGGGCGGGGCGGGAGCAGGGCGGGCCTGGGGGCGGGGCCGGGCCAGGAGGGGCGGGCCAGGAGGCGGGGTCAGGGGCGGACCGGAAGGCGGGGCTAGGGGCGGTGTGGGGCGGGCCAGGAGGCGGGGTCAGGGGCGGGCCAGGAGGTGGGCGGGGGCGGGGCGGAGTGGGGCGGGGCGGGCCAGGAGGCGGGGTCAGCGCGTGCTGGGGCGGGGTCTGGCCAGGAGGCGGGACCGGGGCGGGGCAGGCCAGGAGGCGGGGCTGGGGGCGGTGGGGGGCGGCGTGGGGTGGGCCAGGAGGTGGGGCGGGCGGGGCAGGAGGCGGGGCGGGGCGGCGTGGGGCGGGGCGGGGGCGCGGCGGGGCGGGGCCAGCACGGGCCGGGGGCGGGCCGGCGTGGGGCGGGGCGGGGGCGCGGCGGGGCGGGGCCGGGCACGGGCCGGGGGCGGGGCCAGCACGGGCCGGGGCGGGGTCAGCGCGGGGCGGGGCCGCGGCTCAGGCCCCGCCCCCCCGCCCGCGCAGATGAAGGTCACCGAGGCCGACCTGTGGATCCGCACCTACGGCCGCCTGTTCCAGAAGCTCTGCTCCTCCAGCGCCGAGATCCCCATCGGCATCTACCGGACCGAGAGCCACGTCTTCTCCGGCGCGGAGGTTCGCGGGCGCCGCCGTGGGGGTGGGGCTCCGAGCCGCCCGTCTGTGTCCGCGGTGCCCCGGCGGGAGGCCGGCGTCGGGCGCGGCGGGGGCGCGCAGCGACCGGCCGTGTCTCCCGCAGGCCCCGGAGCTCAGAGTCCCGGTGAGTCCCTCCAGCCCGCCGGCTCCGCCGCCGCGCACGTGCCCGGGCGCCGGGCCGGCCGGCCCGGGACTCGGGGTGCTGCGGGGCCCGGCAGGAGCGAGACCCGCAGAGCCGGCCGGGGGAGCCCCACCGGGCCCTCCCGCGCAGAGGGGACACCGAGGCCCTGGGAGGGAAGCCCCGGCCCCCCGCGTCCCGCCGCGCCCCTCCCGGGGGCCGCCTCCGCGCCGGCCGCGCCGCCCCCCAACCTCTTGGGTGCGCCCGCAGCGCGTGCACGCACCCGAGGCCCGGCTCCCGCAGCCGCCGCCGCCCTCTCCCTGCCCGCGCCGGGGCACCCGGGGGGCGCTGTCCTGTGCGGCCGGACGCGCCGGGGCCGGGACAGGACCGCGGAGAAGCCACCCAGAGGAGGACGCCGCTGTGGGGGCGCCCCAGCCCCTCCGCCCCCCCCGCCCCGCCCGGGCCCCGCCCCGCCCGGGCCCCGCCCTCCCCGGGCCCCGCCCCCCCGCACGCTACGCCCCGGGCCCCGCCCCGCCCCTCCAGGCCACGCCCACCGGCCACGCCCTCGCCAGCCCCGCCCCGCCCTCACGGCTCCCGCCCGCAGCCGCAGGTCGCGGTGCGCGTGGAGGACGGCGAGGACGCGCAGGAAGCCAAGGGCCCCTGGGGCGCGCGGGCGGGGGCCGGCGGCGGCGCCCAGGGACGCCAGGCGGCCGGCGACCCGGCCGAGCACCCGCTGCTGCGGCGCAAGAGCCTGCAGTGGGCGCGGCGGCTGAGCCGCAAGGGCCCCAAGCCCGCGGGCCGCGCGGCCGCCGAGTGGAGCCAGCAGCGGCTCAGCCTGTGCCGGCGCTCGGAGCGGCAGGAGCTGTCCGAGCTGGTCAAGAACCGCATGAAGCACCTGGGGCTGCCCACCACGGGCTACGGTAAGGCCCGCGGGCCCTCGGGCGCCCCCGCCGGCGGCCGCCCCCCCCCCCGCCCCAGGCGCGCCCCCGAGCCCGGGGGGCCGCGCGCCCAGAGCTGCGCTGAGCCCCGCGACGAGGCGCCGCGGCTCCCGGCGCGGGTCGGGAGCCATCCGAGCCCAGCAGGCCAGAGGTGGCGGCTGTGGGGCCCAGGGGGCCCCAGCGGGCTCCCCAAAAGCCCAGGGCTGGCTGGCCACCTCGGCTGCCCGCACGGAAACAGGCTGTGCTCGTGGGGTTCCGGGGCGGGGCGAGCCCCAGGCCACCCCTGCCCGCCCATCAGCACAATGTGGAGAGCATGTGGGGTCCCCTGGGTGGACGGCCAGGTGCCAGGACCACCCCGTTCTCTGGTGGGGCCCCCTGTAGTCCCTGCGGGGGGACCACCCCATATCGCTGCGGCTTCACGGTGACTCGGTGGTGTTCACCTGCGGAGTCCCATGGCCCTCTTTTCTCTGTGGCTTGTTCTGGGGAGAAGTTTGTGACCTTGACCGAGAATAGGATTGGGGTGCTCTGGCTGGCTGAGAGAGAAGCTCATCCCCTCTCTTGCTCTAGACGTGCTGCCTCTGTTGATGGGACCCAACCTCCCTAATGCCGCTCTGCACACCAGCACCTGGCCGTGTCCACACTCTGCTGGGTCCATCTCGGGGACTCTGCCCGTGCAGCAGGCTCCCGCCTCCCCACCCTGCTTCCGCCGCCTGTCACCTGGGTCACTGGCCCTTGAGCCCCTCCAAGTGGGATCAGGCAGCGGAGGGCTCCCTGGGAGCAGCCCCAGGCTCAGCTGGGCCAAATACCCCCCGCCATGCACTCCTGGGCCTGAGGGAGACCCAGAGGCCAGCATCTGTGGGACAGGCGACCCCCAAGGGCCACACCTGCCCGTGCCTGCCACGCCCGAGGTGTCCCTCACTGTCCCTCCCTGGCAGGTGCTCGCCCCTCGGGGCCTCGTGCCGCTGAGGCTGGCAGGTTAAGGGCAAATTGCCGCCCCGGCCCTGCGCCCGCCCACTCAGCGGGCCCACCTTGTCGGGGCCGCGCGCTCCGGGGGGCCGCGGCGCGGACGCCTCTGCATGCGCTGGCCACTGTGCGCCCCGCTCGCTGCCCGGCCTGCTTCTGACCTCTCTCTCTCTGTCTCTGTCTGTCCCTCTCCTGCGTGCTCCGTAGAGGATGTAGCAAATTTAACAGCCAGTGATGTCATGAATCGGGTAAACCTGGGATATTTGCAAGGTAATTCTGCCCCGGCAGGCTGGCCGCTGCCTCGGGGCAGGCCAGCTCTCTGCCCGTGGGCGCCAGGTGCCTGCACCGGCGGGGTGGTGGACCCCACAGGAAGGGCCGCGCATGCCCCCGGGATGCCCAGCTCAGGACTCGGACGCCCCCAGGTCTGTGCCGAGGGCTGACTCCTCAGCCCTTGCTGAAGGCCTGCCGTCTGGTGGGCTGACCGACAGGCCAGGGCCCCGGCCCCGCCAAGCGTTCAGATGGGTGTCCCGGGTCTGGCGCCCACTCTGCTCCCAGCAGGCGAGCTCTCGGCCGCCAGAGCCCCGGCCGTGGTGGCCACCACCGGCCCAGTAGGGCCCTCAAGGGTGCACTCCCTCCTCCCTGGGGCGAAGCCTCACATGTACCCCATTTCTCATCTGGGGACTCAGGTGCTTCCTAGCTACCTGAAGAAGTCACCCCATGGCCTCCAGAGCTCCCCAAGATGCTGACAGAGGCCAGAGCAGAGTCTGGCCCCCTCCTTCCCTGGGGCCCGCCCTCCACGCAGGGTGACCCTGGAGGTGACGGGCCTCCTGCCCAGGCAGGCCAGAGCGCAGGCGGGCTCGAGTGTGGTGGCTGCGGCCCCGCAGCGCCGTGCGCCCCCGCACACCTGGCCCATGGCGCCCACGCGGGCGGAGCCCTGTTTTCTGTTCTTGTGCGTTTCCTAACCCTCCGCCACGGCAGCGTCTGTGCGGACCCGGCCTCGGCGCCCTGCGCGGGCCCTGGCGTGTCCAAGAATGAAGCTGCGTCGCCTGCCCTCTGCCCCAGGCGGAGCCCCCAAGACCCTCTGGGGGGGTTTTCACCGAGCTCCCCTCTGTGGCCGGATGTAAAACCCAGGGAGGGTGTGATCTTGGGGGGAGGTAACCCCTTCCTGGGGAGGCCCGAGGCTTCACCCCTTCTCAAGGCGGACGCTGGAGGAGCCACGGCTGGGGAGGGAGTGTGGACCCAGTGCCGTGGGCCTGGGGTCGGGCGAGCGGGGAGGAGACCCTGGCTGCGGTGGGGTGCAGGATGGGGCGGAGGGGAGACGGTGCCTCCCTCAGTCATGTGCCGCGAGGGCCCTCACCGGCCCCGCCCACTGGGGGACACAGGGGCGCCCCTTGGCCGACCCAACCCAGCTCTGACACTGGAGCCCGGCCCCCCCACCTCAGCCCAGCGCCCCAGCAGTACAAAGCAGGCCTCGCTGGGCCAGGGCGCCTGCGGTGTGGGAGCAGCGGGACCCGGTCCCACTGCGCTCAGGGCGGCCCACGCGGGTGGGAAGTGCCCTGGCAGTCTGCCTAACGGCCACCCCGTCGTCAAGGGCCGGCTGGGTGCTGTGGTGAGGGCACGGGGTCCCCCCACAGCAGGACCCCTGGCACCTGCTTCTCCACATGCCCCTCCCCGTGCGGGAGCGCGTGCTGGGCACCCAGGGCTTCCCCCGAAGGGCTGGGCCACTCCCGCCAGGAGGAGCAAACAGTCGTGGGCTTTGGCGGACTGTGGAGGGGCAGGTGGCCTGGCAAGGACACACGGCGGCCTCCGGGGGGTCTGTCCATGTCCCGTGGCCCCCAGGCCGCAGCCTGCGCCCGGCCTGCAGGGGCCGGGTCTTCCCGGGCCCCCCTGGGCTCCACGGGAGGGGCAGAGGGAAGGAAATGGAGCAGGTGGCGGAGACCCCTGCCCCGGTCGGCAGTTGCCTGGAGACCTCAGGTGGGCAGGCCGAGGCTGCGAGCCAGCTGTGTCCCTGCCTGCTGCGGCCTCAGGCCAGTGGCCACCCGGGCCCGTGCCGGCCTGGTGACCCGTGAGAGGACTTGTCCAGACCCCGGCGTCAGCGTGCGGGCCGGGCCCACCCCGGAGCGGGCCACGGGGGGCTTCCTGGGGCGGCGCGGGGCGGGCGCGGCGGGGGCAGTGTGGGGGCCGGCGCCGACTGCCCGCCTGTCCCGCAGACGAGATGAACGACCACCAGAACACGCTGTCCTACGTGCTCATCAACCCCCCGCCCGACACGCGGCTGGAGCCCAACGACATCGTGTAAGCGCGGCGGGCGCGGCGGGGGCGGGGGCGGGGGGCGGGGGGGGGCGCGGGGGGGGCCCGCGCAGGGACCCACGGCCCGTGCCCCGCAGGTACCTCATCCGCTCGGACCCCCTGGCCCACGTGGCCAGCAGCTCGCAGAGCCGGAGGAGCAGCTGCGGCCCCGCGCTGGGCTGCGCCCCCCAGACGCGCGACGAGACGCAGCTCTGAGCCCGGCGGGCCGGGAGGCGCCCGCAGCCACACGCCGCCTCCGGACGCCCCGGGCTCGCGCCGCGCGGGGCCGGCACTGCCCCCCCGCCTCCCCCCGCCTCGGGCCCGGCCGGCCGTGGGGCCCGGACCGCCGGAGCGCGGGGAGCCCCTCCGAGGGAGCAGCAAGGGCGGGTCCCGCCGGGCGTCGGGCGGGCGGGGAGGCGGCCCCGGCCCGCGCCCAGGAAAGGGACGATGCGCCCGCGCTGCTCCCGCGCTGCTGCGGCGGGGCCGGGGCCTGGGCGGCGCCTGGCGCAGCGGGGCCGTGCGCGGAGGCGCCCCGGGCGGGGAGGGCGGGCGCCCCGACGCACCCCCAGCTCGGCCCCTCCTGACCCGCCGGACCCCAGAGCCGGCCCGGAGGAGCCGCCGCTGTGCCCCGCGGGGTGGCCGCTGGGCCGGGCAGGGCCCCGGGAGGCCGCGGCCCGGGAGCTGCGCTGAGGCCCCGGGGCGGGCAGGAGGGCAGGGCGGGCGCGCCTCAGGCCTCCGCGCGCCTCAGGCCTCCGCGCGCCTCAGGCCTCGCGGCCGGCGGACGGGACGGCCGGTCAGAGCCCGCGCTCCGGGCCCGGTCCAGTGCGCCCCGCCGGGCCGGGCCGGCGCAAGCTCGAGCCTCGCCGTGGGCGTCGTCGGGCGGGGCCGGCGGGAACCACCGGGCGTCACGCCTCTTCGGGGGCGCCCCGGGGCTGAGCCCACAGGGGCGGCCCCACCCCGCGCGGGAGTCTGCCGGGGCCACCAGGAGCGTGCGTGCCATGCGTGCGCGCGCGCGGCTGTGTGCGTGCCTTGCGTGCGCGTGCGCGGCTGTGCGCGCGGGAAGCCGGAGGGCCGGCCCGGGCGCCGAGCGTCGCCCGCGCCGCCTCCCGCGCGGAAGCCCCGCAGCCCCCGCCCGGGCTTCGAGGCGCGGAGGGGGGGGGTGGGGGGGGTAGGGCGAGGCCGCCCCTGCGGGGGCCCGCGAGCCCCGCCAGCCCTGCGGGTCCCCTGCCACCTGCCCGGCCGGCGCCTCCCGGCGTCTCCCGCCTCCGCGGAGCCCCAGCCTCGTGGCGAGCCGGGCCGGCGGGCCGGACAGCACCGGCGGGCGCGCGTCCACGCCCCGCGGCCTCTGCCCGGCCGGCGGACACGGCGCGGGGCACCTGGCGCGGGCGAGGGGGCTGCGGCGCGGCTGCTTGACCCTGCGCCTCCCTCGCTGCCCGGCCACGCGACGGCCGCCGCCGGGAGACCAGCGAGACCCCGGGGCTGCGGGGCAGGTGGCCAGGGCCCAGGCGCCGACATGCCGGGCTGACCCCGCTGTGCTACCGGACAGCGCAGCCTCGAGGAACCCGCGTGCCCGGCAGGGAGTCCAAACCGCTCTGCCTTTCAGCTGCCCGTGGGGCTCAAGCAAGAGGGTGGCCCTGTTGTCCCTGGACATGGCCGACTGCCCCCGCCTCGCTGACCTCAACACCCTCCTGGGGCCCAGCCCGCCACCCAGGAGCCCACACAAAGCCCACCCTGGGGCACTGTGTTTGCAGCGAGGCCCTGTCTGGGCAGACAGGCACGGCCAGAGGTGGCCCGCACGTGGACGGCAGACGTCCAGAGACGATCCCACAAACCGAGAAACAGACGGCCACCAGCACCCAGGCCGAGGGGCCAAGACCTCGCCTCAGGAGAGCCCTGTGTCCCGCCCTGAGGAAGGGCCTCCACGGGCCACCACAAGGACAGGGACTTGGCCCAAAGCCCAGTAGAGGCACAGCCACCCCAGCAGTGCAGGCCACACAGCGAGAAGACCCGGAGTTGAGGCAGTTTTCCAGCTCTGCCAGCACTACCTCCAAATCACCCTTAACACCGCCGCCGTCCAGTCCAGTCCACTCCCCCCAAGGGCGCCCCATGGCAGACAAGTAGCTGCGCGGTTCCAGGGCAGGAGGCAGCGCAGATGCCCCGCCCGCCACCGCAAGGGCTGGCCGTTCACCAAACAGCGCGAAGCCCCTCAAAGGCCAGGCTGGGGCGACACCAACTGACAAGATGGGCCAGGACGCCCTCACACAGGCGGTTCCTATAAAGCAAATTAGTCAGTTACTTTATTACATTTTAGTGCTTTCTTAAAATAAATATGACGACATCAAACATACAGTGAGGAACAGCACGCGTGACGGAGGCAGGGCAGCCGCCGCAGGCATACCGGCCACGCGTCCAGCACGGGGCCCGGCCGCACCCTCAGCACCGCCCGCACCCCTCGCCAGGGCAGGACGCTCCCCCAGTGTCTCCTGTGCCAGTCTGCGGTTCTCCTGCAGTCTGAGGCTGCCCAGTGACGCCTCGAGGAAACGCGGGTGCAGTCGGCCGGGGGTGGAGCGCGGCCAGGCGCCCACTGGGAGGGCCGCCGCTGCCCCACTCGGGATCCTGCCGCGGCCCGAGCGCATGCGGTGGTGTCCCACAGGCGAGGCAGAGGCCCTACGCGGGGGGTCCCAGCGGCCACACGCACCTGCCCACGCAGGGCTGTGCCGCTCGGAGAAACACACTCGGTGAAAACAGGTTCTGCTTCACCAAAATCCATCTTCATTGAAGCGGACACTCATCAGCGGCCCGAACTCGACGCCCGCAGGTGCTCACCGTCCCCGCAGCCACGGAGGCGGCGTCGCGGCTGCCAACGTCACCCCGGCAGAGACGGAGCGCAGGCTTCAGTGCTTTCGGCGAACTCTCGTTTTCAGTAAACGTTTTCAGAGCAGCAAAGGAACTATCACTTCTTCAGAAATCTCAGTCGAGTGTGAATGTTGGCAGTAGACACAATCAATAAATACACAGTTCCGCACACGAAACAGACTCCCACGTGACAGCGCCCGCGGACACGCGCGCCCGGCGGGGGCGGGTCTGGGCGCAGGCGCGGCGGCCGTGCGGGGCTTACACTGAGGAGAGCTTCAAGTAAGAGGGGCCCCGGTCAGAGGTCTCGCCCCAGAGCGGGGGGCCGCGGCGGGCCCGAGTGCCGTGGTCTGTGCCTCTGACCAAGGCTGCGTCTCGCGCTTCGTACCAAGTGGGTGAGTAATAAATACGGAGGGTCACTTGCGAGTCTGGGTCTTCTTTGGCACCGCGGGCCGCTTGGGCTGCCACAGGTGGTTGTGAATGGTCAGCGCGTCCACGCTGACGGACATGGTCTTGGCGGGGATCAGGCTGAACTGCTTCCGGTCCGAGCTGTACTTGTACAGCTTGTCCATCATCTTCTTGGTGATGCTCCTGGGCCCGGTGCCCGTCAGCTTGTGGATCTCCTCCGCGTCGGGGTAGTAGCAGTAGAGGGCGCGGAACTGGCAGCCGGCGTCCCGGAACAGGATGATGTAGTGGTTGGCGTCGCAGCGCTCCAGCTCCTGCACGGGCGGCAGAGGGGCGGGTGAGGGGCGCGGCGGCCGCCATGCCAGCTGCCACCTGCCAGGTGCTGCGGCCAGCACCACCCACCGAGGAGAGGACTGGCCGGTGTGGCTGGTCCCCGGGGCTGTGGAGCTTCAGGTGCCACCGGGCACCCGAGAGGCCCCGAGGTGCTAGGGGAAGAGCTGGTAAAGCTCAGCGAAACCACGTGCCGGCGTGACACAGCAGCTAAATGCCCATCGGGGGCCCAGGGACGGCGTCACGCCCACCAGATGGGCAGACTCAGCACCCGGCAGCGGGAGCTGGCGCGGCTGGGCCTGGGGCCGCCTCCCCGAGCAAGGAGGGCGGCCAGGGCTGGCGGCGGCTTCACGGCAGGGCCCCTCGAGTGGCGAACACCGCCCCACTCTCTGGCCCGCAGCTCTCCCGGGGTGGGCCGTGCAGGCCGAGGCCCCAGCTGCTTCTCCGGGCAGGGAAGACGCCGTAAGGGCAGAAGTGACACCGCTCCCGCGGCCATCCCCTGGTTGTCTTGCGAGTGTAAGCGCATGCTGCTCCTGGCCCTCGAGCAGGCGCAAGCACGTTTGCTTTAAAAGGTCACGTGGACAGCGCGGAGCCCGGGCAGGACACCGGCCTGGGCAGCCCGGGCTGCAGGGCCCGCGTGACAGCGGGGGCACGGCTGCTGCTGCGTCAGCCCAAGCACCTGGCTCCGCTGTCCCCACACCAGGGGCCACCGCCACGGGGCCACTACGTGACCAGCACCCAACAAGAGCCCAGGCGCTGGTCTCTGCCTGTCCCCGTGGCCACCGCCCCAGGTCCCGCCTGTGGCACTGAGCCCCACGTGGGCTTTAAAAGGTCCCCTCCTGGGGAGGGGCCCCGGACCCAGGGCAGATGGCCCGGGTGGGCACGCTGGTACCGCCCTCCTCCCCAGACCTGGCCCGCGACACCAGGGCCCGCCCCGCCATGCAGAAGCCTTTCCGGGCCCGCGCCCCTCCTCAGACAACCCCGCTCCCGCGCCTGCAGCTCGGCCCTGGGCCCCAGCTCCTCCAAGGCCTTCCTCCCCCTCATCTCCACCCGGCTCAGCCGACACCAGCCTCGCATGGAGCCCAGCCGCCTGCCCCGCTCTGGGATAGGGGCTCCCATGCGCCGTTCCCCCCCCCCAGCTCAAATTCACGGGCCCCCCCCTTGTCACGCCCGGCTCCCCCCGGGCGCACCTCCTTCCCCAGTCCAAGCCTTCCCCGTCCCGCATCCAGAGCTGTGCTTCGACCCTTCGCGAAGCCCCTCCTGACCAGCCAGGGACAGACTCTGGCCCTGCAGACCCGACACCCACCCGCCCCTTCCCCTCGCCCTGAGTGCGCGTGACCCCCAGCCAGGAGGCCGGCAAAAGGGGCCACTGCCTGCCCTGGTGACCTGGCTCTGGGGGGACCAGGCAGCTCTCCACCCGCGGCCAGACGGAGCAGCCGCATCAGTGCGGCCGAGAGCTGGAAGCCCTGCCCCTCGCAGCCGGACCTCGCCTCTCGCTCAGATGCCGCCGGCAGCCGCCCCCGTCCCCAGCGCCCCCCAGAGTGTGGTGAGGCTGCCGTCCCAACCTTCGCTCACGCCCAGCTGCCACCAGTCCCCTACCACAGAGGCCACCATCCCACCCCCTCCAAGTGACCAAAGCTAGACCACCGGCACTGCCCAGACCTTCCTGGCCCCTGGCCCCCCTCGCGCCGACCCTCAGCCCCTGCCAAGCCCGGCCTGCCCGGCCCTGCTGTCCCCTCCGCGTGGGCACACTGCCCTCAGCTACTGCGGGCTCCATCTCCTCCCCGCTCCCCGCGGCAGCCCACCGCCCCAGCCCAACCTGCGCCCCGCCCGCCCGCGCTGCCACCTGCCTCCAGGATGGAGTTCTTGTGGGGCTCGTTCACCTTCCCGGCCAGGCAGCAGTGGGCGATGGCGTTGTGGATGATGGGCTTGTTGGACTTGCTGCTGGGCTCCTTGAAGAGCCGGGGGCCTGCGGGCGGGCCGGCGACCAGCTATGAAAACCCAGTCAAGAGACCCCGGGCCCCGGGGCTGGGCGCGCAGGCGCACGTCCCCCCACGCGGACACGCGCCTGCGGCCTCGAGAGAGCCGTCACCTGTGTACTCGGCCACCGAGGCGAGCGAGGACGCGGCGGATGCCGTCTCCCAGTCCCGGTCGGTGCTCCTGCTGGGGTTGCGGCTCAGCGCAGGCAGGGCCTCCAGGGACTCCACCCTGCGCGGCAGAGGCGGGTGGTGGATGGGCACGCAGGCGGTGGATGGGCACGCAGGCGGCCTGGACCCCACTGGCCACGGCCAGCAGGACCCACACAGAACAGGCGCCAGCGGTGCGGGGGCGTGGGGCCTGCTCCCCACAGGACAGCCTCGGCCCCGGGTGGGGACAGACCGGCGAGGCCTGCCTGCCACAGCCCACACTAGGGCGGCCCAGACGAGGAGCCCCCGGGAGCAGCTCTCTGGTCCCGCGGGCACGGGCTGGACACAGCAGTGGGGCCCCCACCAGCAGCAAGAGGGCTGGGTGTGAACCCGCTTTATCCCGGCTCTTAACCTGAAAGGCCCGTCCTCCCCACAAGCGCCCGCTCCTCACCGCTGGGAAGGCGTGCCCCCCGAGTGGACGCTCTCGGGCTCTGTGGTACCCGCGGAGGCCAAGGACAGGCTGGAGCCAGACTGGGCACGGCTCAGGTTATCAGCTGCAAGGCAAGAGGAGCCTGTCAGGCGTGTGCGCCTCAGCTGGGGCCTCCACGGCGCGGCCTCTGCCTCCTCCCGCCCCGCCATGGGGACACAGGACCCCCAGGGAACAACCCCAGAGCCCGCCGTTAGACAGGGCCGGTGCTGCCCAGGCCAGCCCACAGCTGCCAGGGCACGGGCGGTGCTCACGGGTGGAGGAGCACTTGGTGCCCGAGTCGCTGCAGGACTCCTCCCGGTGCACGGACTTGGGGCGCGGCTTCCTGGGCTTGGCCTTGGGCTTCCCCAGCCCCTGCTCCTCCAGGATCTGCTGCTGCTTCCGGCGCAGGTACTCCTGCTTGATGAGCTCCCGCCGCGCCTTCTCCTCCTCCTTCCGGATCCGGTCTTCCTCCGCCTTGCGCCTGCGATGGCGGCAGGTCAGCGCCTCGGCCCGTGGCCCCACAGGTGCCGGGGTTGCGGGGAGGCGCCCGCCCAGGGCGTGGGCAGAGCCCAGCACAGACATGGGCAGTGCCGGCCGTCCCCATGGGGGCAGTGCCACGTACCGGGCCTCGTCCCTCTTGAGCTCCACCTCCGCCTCCAGCTGCTGCTTGCGCAGGCGGGCCTCCTCGGCCTTGCGCTGCTGCTTGAGCAGGAAGGCCGCCCGCTTCTTGGCCAGCTCGTCTTCTGCTTTCTGCTCGTCCTACAAAGCAGATGGAAGGAGCCGTTACGGGGCGCGGCGCCCTCCAAGGCCCGCACCGCCATCGGACGTGCTTGTAACCCACGGGTAAACGTGTCCCTATGGAAACTGAAGTACAGATGGCTCCCCCCAGCCCCTCCTGTCCGCGTGCCCCCAACGATGCCCTCGCCCCCCCGAGTGACCATCTTCTCGCGTCTGCCCTGGACCCTCTGAAGGAAATGAGGCGTCCCCGTACCCCCAGAAGACACAGTCTGTCTTCGAGTCTCTCTCTCCACCCAGATGCCGTGGGGCTGGGCAGGGGCCACTGGGAGGGGGCAGGAGGCGCCATGATCTGGTGTCCTCACGTGGAGCAGGATGGGGTGGGGGTCCCCCAGGGGCGCCAGCGCTGTGGGCAGGCCCGGCAGCACCCCGGCAGCCATAGTGTGGGCCTACCTTGAAGAAGAAGCCAACGCCCGGCTTCTGCTCGCCCTCGCTCGCCAGCTCCGCCACGCTGTCCCGGCCCCCAGGCCCCACATCCTCGTCCGGGGCCTTCAGGTCCGAGAGGTCCACTTCGATGAGGCTGGCCTTGCTCCTCGGGGGCCCGTCCGTGGGGGCGCCCTCCATCCCCACCTCGCTCTGGCCACCACCCAGCACATCCCTGAGGCCTGCCTGCTCAGACAGGATGTTGGTGTCCCTGCTGGGGGGCGGCGCCCGCTGGTTGTTCTCGTCGCGGAGCCTGCAGCTCTCCAGGAAGCGCTTCTCGGGGGGGTCATCCCCAGGGGCCGGCCCGCCGCCCAGCTCGGAGGGTGTGCGAGGGTGGGTGCCAGGGAGCAGAGGCCGCCCATGGGGGGAGCCCTCAATACTGGGGGTCGGGGTCTTGCTGCGGGGGGAGCCCTGCTGCCTGTCCTTGGGGACCTTCAGCTCGGCCGGCCTGCCCGACCGGGAATTCCTGCCCTGAGCCGGGCGTGGGGCCTTGCGGGGACCAGTCACCCCCGTGGGGGACAGCGGCTCAGCAAAGTGAGCGGGTGCCTTGGCTCTCTGGTCCTGGGGGCCGCCCTTGGGGCCAGGCACGGGGCCCGAGGGGGACGTCATGAGCAGCTGCTCCTGCTGCTGGGAGATACGCAGGATGGCCTGCTGCAGCGTGCTGATGGTCTCGTTCAGCTTCTCGATGGACAGGTCGCACTCGCCCACGCCCAGGCCCTCGCCCACACCGTCCTCCAGCAGCACCGCTGACAGCGCTTTGCTCTTCTCCAGCTCGTGCAGGCTGGGGTCTCTCGGCCTGTGCTGCTGCCCCAGGGCCGGGCCCTCCCGGTCCCCAGGCTCGGCCTCCCCCAGGGCTGCCCGCCCCTCCTCCTTGACGAGAAAGCCCTCCATCTTGGACAGGGGCCCCTCCCGGTCCTCCCCGTTGTGCTGGGAGTACTCCCGGGCCAGGTGCTCAGGCCGGAGCGGCTGGGGGACCACGTCGGCCCGCCCCTTCTTGACCACGTGCAAGAAGGCCGCCTTCCCCAGCTGCAGCCGCTGCCGGGCAGACAGCGCCTCCACCTTCTTCTTCTGCGCCTCGATGGCGCGCCGCTTCTCCTCCAGCTGCATGTGCAGCTGCGCCAGCTCCGAGGCCAGCAGGCTGGCGTGCTCCCTGCCCTGCCGGCCCGGGCTCTGCTCCCGCCGCTGCTTCCACGTGGTCAGGGGGGCAGGGCAGCTTTCCGAGGCGTCGGGCGTGGTCTTCTGGGAGCTGCTGCTGCTGGACTTAGTCTCGCAGCTGTTGAGCCGCTGCAGCTTCCTCTCCGCGAAGCTGGTCATCTTCACGCTGCCGCTGGCCATGGAGATGCTGCTGACCTGGGAGAGCGAGCTCAGGCAGGGGCTGGAGCGGCCGCTGGCGTCGTCCTTGTCCTCATGCTCCCTCACCTTCATGTCCTCCTGCAGCTTGGCTGACTCCTCCTCGCCCAGGTACCGGGCGACCACTGCGGCGTGGTCCTCTCCCGTGAGGCCGGGCCCCACCTCCTCAATGCCCACCTCCTCCGCTGTGGGGCACAGCTGCAGGCCGGCCCAGGGCCCCAGGTCGCGGGGGCGGGGGCTCCTGACGCAGCCTCCCTGGAACTGGCCCCCCGCATCCTCACCGGTCCCGGCGACGTGCAGAAAGAAGCCGTCAGCAGACGGTCCCTGAGACAGCGGGTCGGAACCACCGCCGGCCAGAGGCCCCAGGCAGGCATCCCCCACCGCGGCAGGCGTGGGGCTGGAGACCACGGGCGGCTCCGCACCGCCGACAGGGGCGCAAGTCCTGCTGGGGTCGCGGCTGCCCTGGCTGCTGGGCACCCGCTTCCGCACCAGCGACTGGGGGCCCTCGCTGGGCCTCCTGGACGCGAAGCCCCTCGGCCTCCCCTCCCCGCGCTCGTCCTCCTTGGAGACGGCCTGCTTCTCCTTGGCCGGCCGCAGCACGGCTGGCATCAGTGGCTCCAGAAAGAAACTGTCAGGCTTCCTGTCGAGAGTGTCGGCCAGCCTCGGGGGCACCCTGGCCCCTGGTGCCAGGCCCGGGTCACCACTAGGGGGTGACCCGTCTGCCCCGACGAATGCCACCAGCTCCTCGTCCTCGTCCTCGATGTCCACGTTGTTCAGGAGGCTCCGGCCGTCGACCTTCTGGGCCGGGGGATGCGGCTGGTTCTGAGGGGTCAGAGTCACGACGCTGGATGCCAGGCTGTCCTTGCTGATGGAGCGGGCCAAGCTGACGCTGTCGCCAGAGCCGGGGTCCATGTCGCAGCTGGCGGCGTGATGGAGGGCAAACGGCGCCGGCTGAGACACGGGCCTGCGACACGGGAGAGGCCCGCTGGGGCGCAGCTCACGGGACCCGCCTGCCCGCACAGGGGAACGGGAGGACACAGCCCGGGTAGGAGGGCCAGGAGGGCCTCGGGCAAGCAGGCCCAGATACCATGGGCCCAGGGCCCCCTTATGGTCCCTGTAAGTCACTTGGGTCCCCAAAGTCATTTGATTTGTGACCACCACCAGGCCAGAGTCCAAGCTGAAACTTTTTAAAAACTAATTAAAAGTTGCAGCCAGAAACTCACTGCGTGAAAGTGGCTCCAGTCCCCACGGCAGAGCCGCTCACTGCCCAACGTGAGGCCTCCCCCCGCCCGAGCTCCCAGCCCACGGGAGACACGCCCCCCAGGCTGTGCTGCGCTGCTGTGAAGGGCGTGGGGAGGGCAGGCCGGGGACACCGAGACCGACACTCACCTGCCCCTCTTCTCTGGCCACGCAGCCACGGCCCCTCGAGGCTGGCCGTCGACGCGGGTCAAGGAGCTGGAGCGGAGCCGCTGGTCTGCAGTGGGAGCGGGGGGCTCAGCACGTGGCTGGTGTGACACGGCCCGCAGGGAGGAGCAGCGAACAGCTCTGGGGTGTCAGCCAGAGCTGAGCGTGGAGATGCCACAGCCAGCGGCACCTCACCCACAACTTCCCAGGCCGCTCTCGCCTGCGAGCCGGGAGGTCGAAACCCCCGCACTCTCATCCCGCCCAGTGCCCGCGCAGCCAGGCCGGGCTCGGAAGGGCCTCAGGGCCACGCAAGGGCAGGGCCATCTCACCTGGGGGCTCCTCCGCCTGCACCACCTTCTGCTGCTTCTGCCGCAGCGGGAGCAAGGGGTGCGAGGCGCTGAAGGCAGACGCCGCTTTCCCGCTGCACGCAAGAGAGAGGGAGAGCTCAGTCACCACCTCCGAGGCCAGAAGCAGACACAGAGGAAACCAGAGGCCCCTGTGGCCCCACACCCGCCACGCGAGGTCCATGGAGGCCTTGGGAGCCGGCACAAAGAACATCAAACGTGCCCAAAGCATCCCCAACCTGCCACTGGGCACACGCTGACCCGTCAGCCCACAGCCAGATGCACGAGCAGTGCCGGCAGCAGCAGTCCGACCTCCAGAGCTGCCCCCGCCTGCGCCAGGCCTTGGCGGTGTGGTCAGCACCTCGCCGGGCCTACAGACAGCAGAGCATCCTACTGGCTGGTGCTGCGCAGTCCAGCCGTGGGGAGACCCCACAGACAGCTCGCGGGGCGGCCACTCGCACCGCAGGCCTCGGGGACCCAGAGCCAGGGGCTCCCAGAGCCAGCCCCGAGGGGGCAAAGGACACCGACAGAGGCCAGGTGGGAGGGAAGGCAGCCGGGCAGGAGCGCGGCGTGAGGGCAGGGCGCCAGGAGCCCTGGGCCGGCCCGGGAGAGAGAGGACCATGCAACAAGGCAATGAGCCCAGCGTCCAGCCCCGCGTGGGAGCGGTCAGGCTGGTGCTGGTGGCCCAAAGTGGGAGGTGCCGGGCAGGTGCTCCTGCGTTAAGGCTGAGGGGCACTGTCATGGCAGTGGGGGGCACGCCCCGACCTGCACGTCCCCACACAGCTGGTCTGCAGGCAGAGGGCAGGCACCGGCTCCCACGCCCTCAGCCAGCCCGCGCTGGCCTCCCCGTCAGCTCGAGCCCGGGACATGCCGGCCCCTGCTGGGCACTGCCCAGATCTCACTGCCTCCTGTGGACGCATCCCTCAGCACCACCCTGTGTCTGCGCGCCCCTCAGCGTCAAACTGGAGCGAGGGTCCCGCCCGACGCCCCCGGCTCACAGCAGCTGGCGCATGCGGGCGGAGCTGGCCTGGCTCACATGCCTGTGCCTGCCAGAGCGTGGGGCTCCCCGCCCCCACCCCGGGGAGAGCTCCTTCCTCCTCTCCCCAAATTCTGGGAGCCACCAACCCCGAGACGGCCACCTGGAGCAGGCCCAGACAACGAAAACCCGTTTTAAGACACGCGCTCCTGCTCCTCTGCCCCTGGCCGCCCGCCCCTGACTCACAGATGCTCAGGCTCCTCGGGGTGCAGGGGGTGCCGGGGCCCCCCATCGGGCTGCAGCGGGGCGGGGGACGGCACGTCGGTAGGGCTCGGCGCAGCGGGCACCCCCAGGAAGCTGCGCTTGGTGGCGTTGGAGATGGGCACGGGAGGCCGGCTACCCCTCGGGTGCGGCGCGACTTTAGCTGCAGGAAGGGCGGCGGCGCAGCGTGTGAGCGTTTACACGTCACCAAGCGGCGTCTTCACAAAAAAAGGGCGTTCCCCGGCACGAATAACACCACATTCACCCAGAACGAAACTTCCCCCAAAAAATGATTTCAAGAAGCACAAACACACCCCACCAGAGACAGTCTACACCGCACGAGCCCCAAGGCTCACACGGGCCCCGCCTGAGCCAGGCTGGGACTGTCAAGGGATCTCGAGGCAAACAAGGGGACGTCCCCCCAGGAGGCAGGGCCTCAGCTGCAGGCAGGTCTGGTCGTGGGCCCCAGGTGCAGCCCGTGGGGCAGGTTTAGACAAGGAGAGGCCTATCTGCGAGGCGGCCCTTCCCTGCACTGGTCTGTGACGGGAGGCACTGGGGACAGCAAGTGCCAGAGCTGGCCCCTCGCTGACCAGCTGGCCACAGGACACAGTAGCAGGGCAGCGAAGCCCACGCAGGCCGGGCACAGGGTGATGGCAGGGGACGCAGCGGCTGCGAGAGCGTGAAGGGCAACAGGCAGCTGCAGACAGGAGGCGGCCCACACCCAGGCTTCTCTGAGAGCCAGCGACGAGGGCGGGGAGGGGCTGGTGCGCGTGCTGGGCACTGCCGCGTCCTGGCCTCCAGTCCCCGAGCTCCCGGGACTCGGCGGCAGAGGGCGCCCTCCGGGGCTGGGACACAGGGAAGCCTCTGCTGCAGGAGACCAGGCCGCTCTGTGGGCCCCAGAGGCCAACTCTGCTCAGCAGTACCGCCGCCTGCCCTCAGGCCCAGCTAAAGGCCGGCAGAGCACACAGGGGCACCAGGGGCCCCCAAGCCGTGCCTGCTGGCCGGGACCCACCCTGCGCAGGGAAGGCGGGAGAGGGCCACAGACCCACTGGGGGGGCCGGCCCTCCAAGTGACACCTGCTGGTCCCAGACGCTGACCACAGGACGGGTGGCCTGGAGTGGGGGAGCCGCCCTGGCAGAGCTGCAGCCGGACACCGGCCAGGCCTGGACGGGCTGTGTGCTGCCGGGAGGCCGGGGGGCGCACTCACCGTCTTTCAGCTCCTGGACATCCCTGGGTTGGACAAAATCTGGCTTGATGTTCTCAAACCACCAGAACAGCTCGGCAATGAAAACCATGATGTTCGGCTACGAGGAAAGGAAACCGAGGGCGCAGGTGAGGGGCTGACCCCGCGGGGCGGCGAGCAGGGGGGCTGGCCGCACCCTGTTACCTTCAGGACGAGGGGGGCGTACAGCACGTCTTCCAAGGCGAGGTAGAAGCACCTGTTCAGGTACTCGTCTGAGAACTCCCGCAGCAGCCGGATGTTGCACAGGCGCTCGGCCGTGGACATGGCCTCCTTCAAGCAGATGTCTGTGGACAGACCGGCCGGTTACGGGCCGCCGCCTCCGGGCCCGCGGGCGCAGCAGGGCCGAGTGCGACGTGTCACAAGCGCCATTTAAATATAGAAAGGAAGCTCTCGAGGCGGCGGCACGGGACGTCCTGTGACGGCCTGTCCTCGTCAGGCTGCCAACTCAGACCGGCGGAGGGTGGGAGGGCAGGTGGGAAGCGGCTCCAAGCACCGGCGGCTGTGTGGTCGCAGCCACTGAGCCCAGGGGTGCCAGCCGGAACCAGAGCCTGGTGGGGAGCAGGCGGAGAGGACCTCCTCCCTCGCCTGTCCCCGCGGACCCACCGCTGGCAGAGGCGGGCGTCGCCCCTGGGGCTTGTGTCCCGTCCCGGAGGGCTCGGGAAGTTCTCAGGTGTCAACGCCCGGTGCTCTGTTCCCAGGCGCTGGCCCCGCCTTGCCGTGGGCGCTTTGACCCTGGGTCTCTGCCGAGGGGCTCTCTCAGCGGACATCCCGTCCTCGCCCGCCCCAGCGCGCCCGCCCCCCACACCTGCACACTGTCCTGGCTTCTCGGCCTCCTGGGGGCTGCCCAATCTCAGGAGGGTGCCGGGAGTTGAGCGTGCAGCAGGGCAAGGAGCCCCGTCTCACGGAGGACGGTGAACCTGGCCGGCTTCTGCAGAAAGCGACCTTCCCTGCTGCGAGCGGGGCACGTCAGCTCCGTGCAGCCAGGAGCGGGGGTGCCAGTCTCATGGTCGCGGGGGTGGGGGGGGGGCGTCTCCCCCGGCCCTCCAGGCCTGAGGCCACAGTGCCAGGCTCAGCATCCCCTGAGGGGTGGGGAGGCACCGCTGCTCCGCAGACCTGCTCGTCCCCTCCAGTGCCTCCTGAGGCCCTGGGAACGGACCGACCTGTTTCTCTGGCTGGGCCGCCATCGCTCTCCTGCTCACGGTTCCTGGAGGGGTGGGAGGGCTGCTGCTCAGGGTCCAGAGCACCTGATCACCCCAGGGGAATCTGTGGCCAGGTCCCCTGACCTGGGCAGGCACCGGCTGGAGGAAGAGGCAGGAGGCCCCAGCACCACCCTCTGGCCACGCCAGAGGCACTGGAGGCCCAAGCCTCGCCCGCCCAGCCTAGTGTGTGGCCACGCTACCATGCTCGCCCTGCCCAGAGCAGCACCTGCGGACCCCAGCCTGCCCCAGTGCTCCGGAGGCGGGAGATGCCCGTGGACAGAGCCACAGAGTCCCCGCCCTGGCAGGGCACACACGGGAAGCGGGACAAGCTACGCGTCTGCTGTGAGTCACTTAAAGCGTGTCTCTGGCCCCAGGCCTCTGGGGCTCCGGCCGGGGCTCCCAGCTTCAGGGGGCTTATCTGCACCTGCTGCCAGCACCTGCTCTGCTCGGTCCCCCTCCCCACCCCCTGCCCACCAGCATCCCCAGAAGCCACGGGCTGCTCGCCCTCCCGGCTGGGGTGTGTCCACGCTGGCGCCACAGCCTCCAGAGCCGTACCGGCCAGCCACCGGGGCCCGAGTGCCCGCAACCCACGACACCCTACCCCAGTGCTTCCCGCCTCCAGCCCCAGGACAGGCGAGGAGGCTGGACACGACGAAAGGAGGTGCTGACCCGGCCCATGACTGGGAGGCCAAGAAGCAGACAGCGGGACGCAGAGGATGCAGACAGACAGAGGCTGGGGGCGCAAAAGACCGCCGAGCAGGGGCCATGCCTGGTCTCCCAGCCCCTCTCGTGCCCCCACCGCGCCGCATGTGCTCCGGCCCTGCCTGTCATGGCCTCGTGGTGCCAGCCCTGGGAGGTGGGTCCTCCACAGCCTCTGGGGCCATTGGTGCCCACCTTGGGGTGAGGCCTTTGCCCCACCCTGCAAAGCCCCAAGGCCCTGGCCCCGTCCTCACTAGGCTTGCACGTCTACCTCGGCCTCCCCAGTGGGCGCCCACACAACCCAGGCCTCCGTGCCTGTGGGCCAAGCCCACAACTGCGCCCACACACCCGGCTGCTCCCCCGGGCCCAGTCAGCCCTGTCCCACCCCACGCCAAGCCCAGGAGTGCCAAGGGAGCGCCCACCAGGTGGGCTTCTGGTGCAGCGCCACCTGCTGGCCCATGTGCCTGAGCGGTGGCTCTGCAGCACACTCGGTGGGGCTCTGTGGCGGCCCCCAGACCCGGCAGCTCCAGCCTTGGGCCGTGAGTTCGGGACCTGGGCACCAGGCCGCCACACCAAATGCAAAGGAGCCGCTAAGGGCTGAGGGCAGGAGTGGGGCATGCCCAGGTGGTTTCCACACCCCAAGCCCGCTCTGGAGGCCCCATCAGCTGCAGCCCGGGGCCTCATCGCTGCAGCTAAGTCACCGCTGCGTGATCGTGTCCCCCAGACACTTGCCGTCCAGCCTCCTCATCGGGCCTCTGCAGGCCGAGTGCCCACTCCCGCCCTAGCACCCTCCCCTGCCAATACCCAGAGATTGAGGCCTCTGCGCCGTGTTGCACTCACCGTCCAGCTTCATCTGCTCCGGGCAGTAGTAGTGGACCACGGCCAGGAGCGCGGCCCCATCGCTGCCGTCCCGCATGAGGTCCTCCAGCAGCGGGAAGTGGGGCGGCTGCCGGGCAGACAGGTGCTCCCGGCGGTAGCGCACCTGGGAGACAAGAAGAGGCCTCTGAACCCTCACGTGTGGTGGCACCGGCAGGCTGTCACCCAGGCTGGCTCCTGCCCGCCGGACAGTTGTGAGCAACGGCAGCCGCGCGGAAAAGCTCCGAGCACCCGCACACACGTCTGGCACGTGTAGGTGAAGACCAAGGATGCTGGCACTCACAGGTACCCTGGGAACAGCGCTCAGCTGCAGGGATCCCAGGCCTCCCCACTCTACTGGCACAAGGAAGGGGAGAGAGGCAGCCCCCCACAGGGAGAAACAAGCCAACCCGTGGCTGCTAGGCACATGGTAGGCCTGAGGGGCCGCCATGTCCACTATGCGGCCATCAACCGTGGCCAGAAGTGTGAGAGTGTGAAGAGGCGGCGTAAGAAGCTCCAGGGCTGAGCTGGACGAGGGCTGGTCTGCAGCACCTGCCCATGTCCCAAGCACAGGCCGCGAGGAGGGCAGGGCCTGGGCCCTCCCAAGTGCAGCAGATCTCCGAACGGACCCACGCGGGCAGCGCGGACACAGGTACGGAGGTCAGTAGTGCAGAAGGTCAGTGCTGCAGCAAGCTCGCAGCACCACCGGGACGCGGAGGCGTCCAGGAGCCAGGCTGCTGGGAGCGAGCGCACCGAGGCGGACGGCTGCAGACGGCTAAGAGTGAGCGGAGAGGACCCCCCGACGCAGCACCTCTGGCGGCCACAGGTGGGCGGCCGGTGTCCAGCACAGAACGCCCCTCACTCCTCAGACGGGCATGGGAGGCGCCGGCGGCTGCAGGCGGCATGCACAGGCCCAGGCGGCGCGGCCAGGCCACACAGACACGAGCACGGGGACGCTGCGGCATGCGGGAAGCACGGGGCAGCTGCTGCGGCAGACGCTGAGCGCCTGGACGCCGGCCGGGGCTGACCGTCCTCCCAGTCCAGGCGCCAGTCTCTAGGCCGAGGGTGGGGAGCCTCTGAGCCTCCGCTCAGGCCGGCCCACCAGGACCACTCCTGCCTGTGCCGGGCGGGGAGGCTCCAGGCAGGCTGGGGACAGGCGCTCCCGCCAGCGTCCCAAGTCCGCCTCTCCCGAGGCTGGGCGTCATGGGCCGCTGCTCCCCCGGCCTCGCTCGGTCGCTAAGCCCGCCCTCGCAGGTCTCTGCGTGCCCGAGCCAGACGGCAAAGGAGACATGTGCCCTGTGCCCTCCCCGTGACAGGGCAGGGCCCTTGGCCAGCTCAGCCAGCGACTGCTGACAGGCACGTCCCGGGGAGCCCTGGCCCAGTGCGTGCCCCAGAGACCGGCTGGGGGCGCGGGGCCAGGATGAGGTGGCGGGATGGGCGCGACAAGCTGGCTCTGGCGCTGGCGGCCCCCGGTGTGTGCGGCTGACCTGGAGCCAGACCGCGGCCTCCGGCCTGCCCGGGAGACGCGCCAAGGCTGACGCTTCCCCACAGGGCCACGCAGGGGCCGGCCACCCTGCACCCGAGTCTGTCCTCAGGCGACGCTTCCGCGTCACCACCCGAGAGGGGGGCTCACGGCAGGAGGCGTGAGGCAGAGGGTGGTACGGACCCGCCCCTCACACGGACGCTCTCCTCACACAGCAGTGGGCGTCGGGAGGGGGCCACGGGACCCGCCTGTGGCTCATCCACGGGGTAGGGCGCAGCCGTGCGTGGCCAGGGAAGGGGGCGCCCGGGGCTGCGCGGCCAGAGCCAGGTTGTCGCGCGTGGAGGAGCGAGCGGCCGGCAGGCAGGCCGAGGGCGCGGGGACGGGAGCGAGCACGTGCCAGGGGCGGTGAGGGCGCAGGGTGGCCGGCGCACGCACTTACAGGCACTAACTTCCAGTACCACTTGGAGGGAGACTGCCCGGAAGCGAGGGAAGGAAGCAGGAGAGGAGTCAGCACGGCAGGTCCGGCGGACACGCACCGCCGCGTCCACACAGCGTGTGCGCGGAGGGGTCCCAAGAAGCCAGACCCTCCCAGCGCTCGCCTCTGCGGGCGGGGCGCCCCAGGCGGCGGCAGCCACGACCCGGGAAGGGGCAGGGGCCTCCGTGCCCCGGAGGAAGCCTGAGGACGGGGGGCCGCCGGCCGGAGGACCAGGCGGCGCGGGCAGGGTGGGGCCCACGGCACACAGAGCCCCCGAGCCCGAGCGGGAAGGCGCCTCGCCGGGCCAGGCATCGGGACGGGGTCCCCGGACACGGCTTGCTGAAGGGAAGGGAGCCCCAGACGAGGGCAGGAAGAGCCCTGCTGGACGCATCGTCCCATCACACGTGCCCTTCGCCCCCATGTCCCCACGGGCCGGGACGCGCGGGCCGCAGCGGGGCCTCGTCCTCACGTGGCTGCTGAAAGCCAACTCCTGGGGACGGCCCCTCGCACCAAGCTCCCCCTGCCTCCCACTCAACTCCAGGTCAGCACAGGCCACCCCACCTGCCGCCACGCGCGCCCCAGACACGCGGGCCCGCCGCCCGGGGCCCGCAGCTCACGCTCTTCGGTGAGTACAACACACAGAGCAGCCGGGCAGCAGACACGGACGCGGCGGCTCAGAGCCGGGCAGGGCTGACTCGGTGCACCGCGGGGAGGTTCGATTTGCCCTTTACCTTTTGGTGAGCGGGGCTTTCCCACAACTGCTGTTTTAACTTAGCTTCCTTCTCTGTGATCTCTCTCATCTTTAGATTTACCTGAAGCGGGAGAAAAGTGCGTTAGGAAGGCAGCTCCCCCGGCGCCGCGTGGGTGCCGTCTCTCCTGGCCCCGGGGCGCCCCCTCCTCAGAGACTCCCAGAAGCAGGCCTGTGTGTTCCGACCACCCACGAGACACGCCTGGCCCCCACAGCCGGGATTACATGCGAGACCACGGTCGGCCACCGCGCCAGGACACGCTCTGAGCGTCCAAGCACCCACATGGCCGCCTCAGAGGCCTCGCCAGGACTGCGCCCTCCACAGGCCTGCTCCCTAACCAGGCCTGCCCCCCACCAGCAAAGTCAGCCCCAAGAAGGTCTGGCTGAAGTGCCCGTCCAGAGCCTGCCTGACTGGGCTGCGGCGCTGACCGCAGAGAGCACCGTTGACGGGGCTCCAGCCCGACAGGCCCGCACGCCCCTATCAGCCACACGACTGCCGGCCACTGAGCTCTCCCCAGAAACGTCAACTCAGCTGGAAGAAGGTAACGGGCTACAGAACAGCACCCCAGAGAAATGCGCCCTTGAGGCCAAACCCCCGGAGGGAGGCCCCAGGCCTGACCCCGCACAGCAGAGCAGCCCACAGGCGTCCCCTGTGGCCCGAGGAGCCTCGGGAGTGCTCAGAGCCCAGGGAAAGAGCAGGTAAATCCGGAACCAGACTCGTGGCGTGCCCGGGAGGCCACCCCAGGTACCCACCCGCCTGAGGCGGCCAGCGGCCTTGAGGGAAAGAGGCCTACGGGCTCACGTGGCGCGTGTGATGATGCAGACACTGAAGGGAACGGGCGCGGAGCCCCAGGAGGATGCCGGGCGGGAGAGGAGGGCAGGCTGGCCGGCCACTGGCCAGCAGGCCCCACGAGACGGAGAAAGCAGCCCAGAGCCAGGCTGCCGCCGGGCCCGGCAGTGGAAGCAAGACAGAGCCTTTCCCAGGAAGGCAGGCCCCGGCGGCGATCCAGCCGGCAGAAGCACCTGCAGGAGGCACTGCAGGCCGCAGGGGCAGGACCCCACCCGGGACAGAACCTGAGGACTCAGACAGAAGCGCACCCTGGCCCCGGGCCAGTCACCCTCCAGCCCCCGGAAGTCAGAGCAGGAAACCAGGTGGAAAATCCTTCAGGGAAACCGTGCGGGCGAGGGGCTCCTGCGCTGCACCCCCACTCAGCAGTGCCTGGAGACGCGGGGTGTCGGAAGCCACGCTGCCCGGAGGAGCCACACCGAGGAGTGCAGGCAAGAACGGCCCCGGGGGCGGGCAGCTGGGCGCCGGACCCGAGGTCCCCGGGTCCTGGGCGCCCCCACCCGGCTGCAGGTGGAGATGGGCGCTCGCACACTGCACCTGGAGGCACCACACACCACAGGGTGAGCCCCGAGGAGGCCCCTGACTGGTCCAGCCCGCCCCACCCCGCAGCCTCCCCTCCTCCGCCCCTGAGGACGCAGGCGCGCGCCGCGAGGGTATGGAGTCCTGCCTGCGAGTACAGGGTCGCCTGGAGCCGCTGCGTGCCCGGCTTCCTATGCCGCTTGAGCAACGTCTCCTGAACTGAGCTCCTTTTTTGCAAACGAGGAGGCTTAGCAACAAGGTCTTGCCGAGGTAACCCCACACACGGTCACACGCCACCTAGAAGAGCCGTCTCCACACACCGCACGGCATCGAGCACTTCCCCCTTGGCGTCAGGCCCCCTGAGGCCCGCGGGCCGGCTCAACCCATCGGGTAGGCCCCCCCACCTCGCTGACCCAGAGCACCACGGCCGCAGGCGGGCCCAGACCCACCTTGTTGACCCAGAACACCATGGCGTCCTCCAGGTCATAGGGGAGCTCCTTGGAGGCGCTGAAGGTGGAGAAGCGCTTGACGCTGGCCACCACCTTCTCGATGCTGATCATCTCCACGGTGTAGGCCATCATGAGGGCGTCCACCATCGCCATGTGGGCGCTCTGCGGACGGAGTCTGGTCAGCATGGCCAACGCGCCCCCACAGGCTCCGCCACTGCCGTCATCCCAGCTGAGGTGACCCTGACCCAGTGCTAACAGGGAGGCCTCTACCTCCTCCTTCTGTGACCCTGAGATTCTGGGGGTGCCCCCCGCAGCAGTGGGAAAGGAAGGGACACAGATAGCCCAAGGCCAAGCACACCCACAGGTCTGCACCTCGCGCCCACTCACTGGAGCCCCAGGAGCGCCCAGCCCCCACCCTACACGAGCCCCAGAGCCAGCGAACAGCCCGAGGGGGGCGCCGAAGGGCTTGGGCCAGAGCCGGCCCAGAGACGAGGGAAGGGCCTGCAGGCCACAGAGCACAACGGGCCACGCCGAGGGGGGCTCGCAGGCCACCAGCACAACCTCGGCATCCTTGCCGACACCTCCCGGCCCTGCTCGAGGGCAGAGCAGGCCAGGCGCCGCGTCGTTGGACCCAGCCCACGTCCGCACTCCCGACGCCCTGGGCCGGTGCCCGGAGAGCAGCCTGCCGCAGGGCAGGGCGCACTCACCATCTTGATGGGCGCCTGGCTGAGGTCGGGGTCCGTGACGGGGGTATCGTCGCTCTCCATCACGTAGATGCCCTTCCGGGACAGGGCCTGGATGACGGACTGGTGGCCCTGCAGGGCAGCCGCCTGGTCCCCCTTCAGGATGAGGCTGCAGACGCGGCAGTACAGCTCCCCGGACAGCAGCAGCTTGATGACCGGCGGCTTGATGTGCTCCTGCTCATACTGGTCCACGTAGAAGGGGTCCCGGAGGTCCTCGGGGATGTTATCTGCACCAGGGAGATGGCGTGAGCAGGGCAGGCCGGCCCAGCTGAGGCACACAACCGCCAGGCCACAGGAGCAGGTCGCCACCCGCCGGGCGAGCCCATGGGGACGGCGATGCCCCTGGCACTGGCTCCGGGGCGAGCGCGCCAGGTGGAAGACGACAAGGACCCAGCACCAGGCCCCACAGACGAGGCAGCCACACTGGGCCGCCCTGACGCGCCTGGGGCCTCGGGTGCACACAAGCCAGGTCGCGAGGCCAGCGCACGGGAGGGGGTGGGACGGGAGCCCCAGGGCACCGGGGTGGGGGGTGGGATGGGAGCCCCCGCGTGCGGGAGGGGTGGGGACAGGAGGGAAGTGGGGACAGGAGCCCCAGCGCACGGGAGGGGGTGGGACGGGAGCCCGGCATCTGTCACCCAGATATAGCGCCGGTGCCGTGAGTGGGAAGAGAAGGCAGAAAGAAAGTGGGGGCGGCACGGGGCGCGCTGGGCTCCGAGGGTCCAGAGCAGGAAAGGGGCGCGGTCACGGCTGAGCGGGGGCGGGGGGGGGGGGTCGGGAGGCAGCGAGCACGGAGAGCGAGTGCAGCGAGGCGACGGGAGCCCCTCTGCTGTCGGGGAGGCCGCACAGGCGATGCAGGGTGGCGGGGGTGGGGGAGGCAGGACCAGCCGCCTGGGCAGGGCTGGACGGGGAGGGGTGGGGGAGGTGGGCGGCGGGCGCAGGTGGAGGGGGCCCTGCCAGGCATCCACTGGGCACCGGCACCGACGAGGGCAGGCCGAGCCCGGGGGGTCTGAGGCTCCTCCAGACCCGGCAGCCAACGGCGGCGCCTCCACGGTGGCGGTGGGGCCGTGCGAGCGCCACGAGGCCCAGGGCAGCCGAGAGCCCGGGAGCCGGGCCCACGGGGGCGGGCAGAGAAACCAGGGGGGAGACCGCGCCCCACAGGGCCGGGCATGGGCCGGAACCCACCAGAACCCATCACCGCCGGCGCCTGGAGGCTGAGGGAAGGGCCAGCACAGCGGCGCGGAGGCCCGACGGGGCCTGAAGAGCCGCAAGAGGGACGAGGAGCCGGGTCCCCGCGGGGACCCCCAGCACCTGGCTCACGGAGAGTGGGGTCCGCGCGCCAGCGGAAGGCGCACCCCATCTGCCAGCAGCAGCACGTGCGCCAGCCCGGGCCCAGGCGAGCCGCAGGGGCAGGCAGGCCAGGGTGCCCCGCCCGCAGGCGCCACGCCGGGAATGACCGGGAGAGGAAGCCGCGGCTTGGCAGTCACCGCGGAGGGGCCCGCCGGGGAGCGAGAGCCAAAGACACACTGCAGGAGGGGGGTGCAGGGCACAGGGCCTTGGGGCGCCAGGACCCACATCTGCCCCCCCCCCGTCACCAATGGCTCTGCCAGGTGGTGGCGCCCCCGCCAGCTGGAGGGCTCCCCCAACTCCGTGTCAACACCCCTTTCTCTCAAAATGATGCCCTGGCCTTTCCGTGGGCCAGAGGGCTGAAGAACACCTCAAGTCCAGAGGCGCCGGCCGCCCGTGGACAGCTGGCCTCTCCGCGGCTCGGAGGCAACAACGGGAGCCCGGCAGCCGCCTGGGGTGGCGGGGACCAGCGAGCCCGCATGCCTGCCCCGCGGGAAGCACGCGGCCCAGGCCCACGCAGCCGGCCCGAGAAGGCGCCTCCAGCCCCGCTGCCGGCGGGCACGTGCTGGGAACCTCCCCGGACCAGCGACCCGCGGGGACCACTGGGGAGCGAGGCGCACCTCAGCAGCCTGCGCTGCGTGCCAACCGGTCCCCGCGGCGGGCGGACGGCAGGCGGGGCGGGGAAGCCCCACGGGAGGGCCGCCGCGCGGGACGGCAGCTGAGAGCCGACCGCTAAAGGCCAAACCCAGGGCCACGGGCTGCGCGGGTGAAGGCCGGGCCCGGCGGCACAGGGCGCCCTCCGTGGCTCTCCTCCCCCCCCCCGCCCCCCGCGGGAGGCCTCGGGCCCGGAACAGCCACGCTGGGGCTGACACGGGGGCGGGGGGCTCACTGGGGCCACAGGCGGCGGCTGCCTCACGCGGATCGCGTCGGCGACGGATCTCACCCGGAGTCCGGACCGCGCCGGCCAGCAGGGACGGTCCCCACTGGTCCCCAGAGGCGGTGGCAGGGACACCCAGCGTTCACGGCTCCGCGTGAGGCTGGGCGACAACAACAGGTCTTGGAGGTGCCAGGCCGGGCCTCTGGGGCCCCTCGCAGGGGGGCATCCTGGGGGGAGGCGGCAGCTGGACGCTTCTCCACCAGGAAAGGGCGACCCCCTCTTTCCTCCCGGCGCGCTGACCCTGGCTCACGTCCTCTCCCGGGGAGCCCCACCCCAAGCCCGACTGGATTGCTTTTCAACCCTGCGGCTGGCGGGGCCTTTCAGCACCGATCAGCTCATGGCTCGCACCCGACGGGCGCGCTCCAGGGCCCGCCACGCAGAAAGAGCCGCAGCCTGAGGGGCCTGAGGTGGCGCGGGGGTGAGGGGCGGCGCTGCCAGCACCACCGGCCGCACCACCGGCCGCCAGCCACGCTCCTCTGGGTTAGAGGCCGCTCCTCCACCTCGGAAACCTTTAATGGCTCCCCGCTTCCCACACACAGAACCCCAATTTGCCAATCGGCCACTGAAGGTACCCCAAGAGGCAGCACTCAGCATCCTTTCTTGCCTAGCGCCCCCACCCTACCAAACCACCACCTCACCCCCTCGCTCTGGAACAGGGCACCCCAGACTCCCTGGGGGCTGCTCCCCGTACCCGCTGGGCCGCACAGGCGGGTGCTCTGGGGACCCAGCGCCTCCCACCTGACAACAGAGCAGCCGACAGGCAGGAGCAGGGAGGGAGGCCCAGGAGAGAGCCGTGCGGACAGCGACACCGACACGCCAGCGAGGGTGCCGCCCTGCGGCTCCCGCCCAGCCCCGCCGCCTGCTTCCGGGACGCCGCTGACCGCCGCCAGGACCTGCACTTGGAGCAGGGAATAAACCCATTTCCGCCGCCTGCCAGCCACCAGGCGGGTGCTCTCGTCACAGCCACCCCATGCACCCCCCTTCCGGCTGACCACAGCCTCTATCCCACACCAGCCCCCCTCAAAACCTCGCAGGCCCATCAGGAAGCGCATCCGGGTTGGCTGGATGCACCGAGGCGGCCGACCCCGAGACCCCCTTCCACACTGGCCACCCGGCGCTGAAACAGCCTCCGCCACCCGGCAGAGGGATCCAGGCAGACACCCCCTTTCTGCTGTTGGGGCTTCTTCAAAGCCTGTTGCCCCAAGGGGCCGACACGCACCCCTCCCAGGGGTGACCCACAGCCCAGCCCTCCAGCCCGCCCGGCCGGCCCACAGCCCCAGGTGGTTCTGATGGAGCCGGGGCAGGCCGGGGTCCACCTCCGGGGTGGGGCCAGACGCCGCCGGCCTCACTGCTGGGGGCGAGGCACTGACCAGCCGAGCCGAGGCCCAGCGGCAGGAGAAGCCCGAGCCCAGGGCGGGAAAGAGGCCACCCCAGGAAGGGGCTGCCCTCTGAGGGGCACGGCGGCCGCGCGCACAGCAAGCTGAGCACCTGCAGCGGGGAACACGCCTGCGAGTGCCCGGAGCAGGCGGGAAGCCCGAGCCACCCGCCTCCCCAAAGGCGCGTCCCCCCTGCAAGCGGTGAGCAGAGCGGCCGACGGAGGAGCAGGGCCCCGCGCAGAGGCAAGGCCAGGCTCCAGGGACCAGCAGGACGCCCTCCGCCTTGCCAGCACCACCCCCCGCACTGCGGAGAGGCCCCCTAGACCACACCCGCCGCCCAAGCAGGGCCATTACAGGGACCTGACAGGCAGCTCCAGTGGAGAACACCCCGTTAACACCTGGGGGGGCGCAGGGCTGCTCCCGCAGCAGGAAACGCCACACGAGACGGCGAGAAGACAAGGAGGCCTCGCGGCCTGGGGAAGGGCCTCTGCGCCAACGGGCCCCCCGCCCCCAGGTGCTCCCCAGCACCGCTTCCAGACCAGCAACCCGTCACCCTGCGGGGCGCACGGGACGGCGGCGGCGGGACAGGCCTGTCGCTGTCCGTCCAGCCTGTGCTGACCTTGGGGGCCCGCGCTCCGCCCATCTTGGGCAACGCCACTCCACGGCGGGCCCCGACTTGGCGTCCAGGGTCCTCGCGGAGAGACCACCAGCAGAGCCACACAGCTACGCGCCTGCACCCTCCAACGCTGTCTGCGGCCCCAAGCCCCAGCCGTAAGGGAGCTGGGGTCGGCGCCCTCAGCCCCCCCACCCTCTGGTCGTCAGGGGCCGTTCCAGCCAAGCCAGCGTGCTCCTCCCGGGGACACTTGGGAGGACGGGGCTCTGTGCCGCCCACGCGCCCCTCGAGAAGATGGTCTCGGAGCTGCCCGGAAAACAAGAGGTGCCACCTCCCCTAACCAAGCACCTCTTTAGGGCACAAATTAGGGAGGCCCCAATTCAGATGACCAAGACTTACCCAAAAGAGGGGGCAAAATCTAAAGATACAGCACAAGTCGGTCCACAGTTCTCGGCTGCGGCTCCAGAGAGAAAGTCGGGGCAGCCTCCAGCGCTGCAGGCCCGGCCTCCCGCCTCCCCGAGACTGCAGACCACGGCCCGGGGGACCAGCCGTCCCCACAGGCAAACACGAAACAAGAAGGCTCCCCGAGCACTAGCTGGGGACCTGCAGGTTTCCTTTTCCAGACAGAAGGGAGCGGCGCCGGGAGGCTGGACTCAGCCTCCTGAACAACCGTCTGACGGGTGACCAGTTACTGGAGGGACCTCGGCCACCACACCCTGGAGTGGACTTCCAGGACAAGCCCCCGGCGGCCAGGGTGGGGCTCCTGCACTGACCGCTCCCTGGGAGGCCCCGGCGATGCCCCAGAGAGAAGCAGAGCGCTGGGGGAGCTGGGCCTCCGGACCACGCGCGCTCGGGACTCTCCCCGCCACGCAGTGACCCAGGCGGGCGCACAGGCGCTGCCCTCCCGGCATCCGAATCGAATCGGCTCGCGCAGCCCGTAGCAGTCAGGGGAGACGACACCCCAGGCCAACGGGTCGAGAGGCGCAGCCCTCCAGCCGGGGTCGGCCTCCAGGGCGCACCCAAGCGCGGGGCGGCGGGCGCCGGGCAGGGCCCTCAGCGGCTCGGGCCTCCGCCAGCTTCTGGCTCACTACGGGATGAGTCACCCGCGCTGGGGGCGACCCGGCGCTGCAAGCGGGGGCTGGCCGGCACCAGCAGCCGCGCCGGAGCGGACTCGCGCTCTGCTGCCGGCCGGGGAGGCCGGGGCGGCTCCGGCGAGCGGCCCTGGGAACCGCGGCGTCTCCGGGCCCAGGCGCTCCGGCCCGAGCTCCTGCAGCCGCCGCGGCGCGGCGCGGCCTGTGCCCAGGGGCAGGCGCCCGGCAGGGGCTGGAGGCGCGCCAGGCCGCCGGGGCGGGACAGCGGTCGAGCACCCGGAGCCCGAGGCCGCGGGGCCGCCGCCGCCCGTCCCGGGGCGAGGCCGCTCCCGCGGGCCCCCAATGCCGCCGGTGCACGGACAGACCCCGAGCGCCCCGCCGCGCGCGCCGAGGCTGCACCCGTCCCCGCGGCTGCCGGCCCCGTCCACGGGGCGCCCCGGCCGCCTCCCGGGCACCGGCCTCGCCGGCGGGCGACCCCCTCGGCGCCGCCGCCCGCAGCACAGGAGGCGCGGAGGGGCGGGCCGCCGGGAGAGCCGCGGCCGCCGCCCGCGCTCGGAGCAGCCCCGGCGCCCCGGGGTCCCCGGGCCTGGGCTGACCCCGCGGCCGGGCGCGGGCGGGCGACGTCCGGGGAGCCGGGCCCCAGCGCCGGGCGCGCACAAAGGCCGGCCCGGCGCCGGCCCCCCGCGCCCCCCGCCCCGGACCCCCGGACCCCGCGCGCCCCGGCCGCCCCCCGCCCCGGACCCCCGCGCCCCCGGCCGTCCCCCCGCCCCGGACCCCGCGCCCCCGGACCCCCGCGCCCCCGGACTCCCGCGCCCCGGACCCCGGACCCCCACGCCCCCGGCCGCCCCCCGGCCCCGGACCCCCGCGCCCCCGGACCCCGCGTCCCCGGACCCCCGCGCCCCCGCGCCCCCGGCCGCCCCCCGCCCCGGACCCCCGCGCCCCGGACCCCCGCGCCCCCGGCCCCCCGCGCCCCCGGCCCCGCCCGGCCCGGCCCGCGCACCTCTGCCGTAGGCCTTGGCGCACAGCCACTGCAGGTTGGCGGCGATCTTGGCGCGGGCCGGGTCGTAGCGGGCCGGGGGCGCGACGTCCGCGGCGCCGTCGGGCGCGGCCTCCATCCTCCGCGGCCCGGGCCGCCCGCGCGGGGGCCGCGACCACCTCCGGCGCCGGCGGGTCCCGGCGGGCGAGGCCCGGGCGCGAGGCCCCGCGGAGGCCGCCCCGCCCGGCCGCGCTCGCGCCGGCCTCTCCTCAGAGCCGCCGCCGGGGCCGCGCCGGCGGCTGCTGCATCCCGGGCGGCGGCGGCGGCGGCGGCGGGGCGGGGGCGGGGCGGGGCGGGGGCGGCGGGCCCGGGCGGCGGCGAGGGGGCGGCGGCGGCGAGGCTCGGCCAACGGCGGGAGCGCGCGCACGGCCGGGCCCCGCGCAGGCGCACTGCGCCGAGGCCGCCGCCCCGCCCCGCGCCGCGCTCGCCCCGCCCCGCGCCGCGCCCGCCCCGCCCCGTCCGCAGGCGCAGTGCGCCGGGCCGCCGCCCCGCCCGCGCCGGCCCCGCCCCCTCGCGCAGGCGCCGTGCGCGCGGGCCGCCGCCCCGCCCCTTTCCGCGGCCCCGGGCGCGCGTCCCGGCGGCTCCCGCGCGGCCCTTTGTCTGCGGCGGCCTCACCCCGCGCCGGCCGCGCCGCCCGCCCCGAGACGCGGCGCCCCCGAGGGCCCGCGACCCCACCCGAGCCGCGGGGCCGCCCCCGGGCCCGGGGAGCCGAGCGGGGCGGCCGGGGGCGGGGCTGGCGCCGCAGGGTCGGGGCGCCCCGGCCTCGCTCGGCGCCCGCGGGGAGACGGGCCCGGGGGGCGCTCGCGCTCCGGCCGCGGAGGGCAGCGCCGGCGCCGCCCCCCCGGGGCCAGCCCGGCCCCCCGGCCGCGGGGACCCCCGCGCTGGCCCCGGCGAGACTCGGGGCGAGGGAGGGGCGGGCCGCCCCGCCGGGGCGCGGGCCCCGGAGCGCGCTGAGGGCCCGGGGACACCCCGGGGTCCCCGCCCGGCGCCGCCCGCCCGCCCCGGCCAGCCCGAGGAGCCGCGCGGGGCGCGGGCGCGGGCCGGGGGCCCCGCGGAGGCCCCGCTTCGGGCGGAGGGCGTGTCATCCTGAGGGGGTGGGGGGGGGTCCGGAGGGGGTCGGGGCGCGCGTCCCGGAGGCGCCCGGTGGGGCGGGCCTGTCCCGGGGCGGCCCGCGGTCGCGTGCGGGGCCTCCTGCCTGCAGCCCTCGCGCAGGGTGGCGGCCCCGTGACGTGATTCCGCGCCCGCCGGGGCCGGCAGCGCGCGCAGGCGTGTCGTGCGGCGGCTGCCGCGGTGAGGTGGGTTTCCGCGCCCGCCGCCCGCGCCCGCGCGCCTGTGCGTGGCGCACATGAGGAGCTGCTCTTGCCGGGCCTCGGCGGCCGGGGGACACCCACGGGGCGCGGCGGGCCGCGCCTGACTCCCCCCTCCCCTCAGCCGTGGGTTTCAGTCAGGCTGCCTGTTCCGCCCCCTCTCTGTCTCTGGGGAGTCCTCTCACCCCCACGCCTCTGGCCTGCACCCCGGTTCTCCTATGCGCCCATAAACCGTTAAAAATAGTCATAAAGTAAAGTACGTATCTGTGGCATCATCCTTGCACCCCGAGGTCCGTCCCGCGTGGCCGGGGTCCGTGGTCCTCAGGTGCTGTGGGAGTCAGCTTGCCGGGTTGGCGGGCACCCCGGCCCCTGCGCTCACCAAGGCCCTGAATTGCAGTTGCCCTCCCTGCGCTGCCCTTGCCCCATCGAATGTCTCGGCGTCCCCTCCCCCGTCCGTTCCTCGGATGCGCTTGAGAAGGCCTGGCGTGCTTCTCCCTTGGGTGTTTGGGAAGTTCCTGGGAAACCGTCTGGTACTGGGCTTTCCTACATGGGAAGAGTTTTTGATGCCCCCCTTGGTTCCCTTAGTCATCACTGGCCTCTTCAAGTTTTTCTTTTTCTCCATGAGCCTGTCCTGGTGTGCCGTGTATTTCTAGGAATTCAATCGACTTCTTCCAGGTTGGTCTGTTTGTTGGGAAATAGTTTCTTAGCATCTGTTTTGTTTCCGTGGTATCTGTTGTATTACCTCCTCTCTCATCCAAAATATTAATTTCTTTTTTTTTCTCGTTTTCTCCTAGGGAAGTATAGCAAAAAGACTTTTCAATTTAGTTTATCTCTAAAAATACAAATCGTAGCTTTGTTAAAATTTTTCTATTGTTTTTTTATCCTGTTTCATTTATTTTCCTCTTTTTTACATAATCTTCCTTCTGCTAGCTTTAGAATTTTTTGTTCTTTTCTATTTTTTTCAGATAGTAAGCTAGATTGAGTTTTTTTCCCTTAATTAGCTGTTTTTCTCTATAACCTTCCCACTCTTTTTCAAAAAGATTTGTTATGGGCCTCCCCGGGGGCGCAGTGGTTGAGCGCTGGGTTGCGAAGCTCCCCACGGCCTCTGCGGCGCCAGTTCGATCCCCGGCTGCTCCCCGGCCGCCGGAGGAGGGTCCCGCATGGCGCGCAGACCTCTCCTGCCGCCCGCTGCTCCCCTCAGCAGTGTCCTTCGGTCCTTCTGCCTGCTCTGCTCCCCGCTCTGGCTCTGGTGAATTCTCTCACCCTCCCGCGCTTCAGACTGTACCCAGTGCATGTATAAACAGAACAAACAAACAAACAAACAAATAAATAACCATGCCTCTATAAAAAAAAAAAAAAAAAGATTTGTTATTTATGCATACAAGAACTGGGTGTGGCCAGAGGTAATGGGGGGCGGTGAGAGGACTCCCCAGAGACAGAGACAGGTGGATCCACTGAAACCCACTGTTGAGGGGAGCAGCAGGGAGACAGCAGAGGTCTGTTGCTCCCTTTGGGTCAGCTCTCTGGCCAGGGATGGAATCCAGGCCTCAGTGGCCGGCCGTAGCTTGGTAGTGCTGAGACTTTAACTAGCCCTGTGCCACCAGGGAGGCCCTATAACCTTCCTTTTTAGAACTGCTTTGGCTGCATTTCTCAAGTTTTGTTTTGTTGTATTTGTTTTACTTTGTTTCAATATATTTTCTGATTTCCCTTTTGATTTCTTCTTGGCCAGACTGTTCAGGTATAAATTTTTCCTTTAAGGCACATTTTTTCAGCGTCACAATCAGACTATTAAATTTAACGATCAGCAGCATGGGTGCAAAATAAGATCTACATTAAAGCCCTCTGTCGGGATGCTTTACACTTTCCACAGGGCAGAAGCTAAAATAACCTGTTATATAATTAGCCACAAATACAGCCCTTGAGTGTTTTGCCCCCACACACGAATATTGTCTACAACATGTCTCTGTAGCAGGTGGGCCCTGCCACCCCTGCGCGGCTCCATTAGCAAATCTGTTGTGACCTGTAGCTTCCCCCTCACTTCTGACTCTCCTCGGCTGCTAAGCTCTGCTCCCTGGCATTAATTCAAACCTGCTGCTGCCCTCACTACTGCTGCTGCTGGAGCCTCCACAGCCACCTTGGTGCCACGGTTTGGCAGGGTACTGGCCTCCGCCACCATAGGGGCCAGAGCTTGCGCCTCTAAAGTTTCCTCCTTTCAGGCCTCCCCAGTGGCAGCCTTTGAGCGCTGGGTTGCAAAGCTGCCCGCGGTCTCTGCAGCGCCGGTTTGATCCCCGGCTGCTCCCCGGCCACCAGGTGAGGGTCCCACAAGGCGCGCAGACCTCTCCTGCCGCCCGCTGCTCCCCTCAGCAGTGTCCTTCGGTCCTTCTGCCTGCTCTGCTCCCCGCTCTGGCTCTGGTGAATTCTCTCACCCTCCCGCGCTTCTGACTGTGCCCAGTGCTTGTATACATAAATAAATAAAGAAATCTTTAAAAAAAAAAAAAAACCTCTCATTTAAAAATAAATAAATAAATAAAGTTTCCTCCTTTCATGGGTCCCGAAGCTGAAGATTGCTTCTTGTAACTGCCAAAATCATCGCAGAGTCCACCAGCAACAAAATTGCCTCCACTACAACTGCCCACGCTGCCGCCCCCATGTTGTAGCTGGACAGCCAGGGCTTCCGGAACCCTGCCCGGCACTGCCACGGCCTCTGCTCCTGCCACAGCAACCAGCGCCGCCTCCTCCACGACCACCATCATCACCGACCCGCTGCGGCCACCCCCACTGCGGCCATGTCCACCCCCACCACGGCTGCCACCAAAGCCAGCTCAACCGCCGGGGTTTCCTCCGTGACCAGAGCTGTCCTCGCCACCAGAACCACCTCCACGCTCACCACCAGTGTTTCCAAGACCACGCCGACCTCTGCTGGGTGAAGCGGTGGCACCCCCTGCTCAGGGGGCTTGCCTTACTTCACCATTGTGGCCATTCGCAGCGCTCTTGTCCACAGAGCTGTGGACCTCACAGGTTATGGAAGCAAAGCCCTCTTCCCGCCGCCGCCATTTCAATCACTCCAGCGTTGCCCACGGCGCAAAATCGTCTTCCAGATACTCTTCAGCATCTTCTTTAATGCCACGGATAAGAACCTTCCTCAGAGCTAAGTGGGCACCGGGCCTTGGGGAATCTGCTCTTGATACAGCGCTCTTAGGCCCCCAGCGCTCCATCTGCCTCGTGTGGCCTGAGCTCACAGGTGCACCCCCGTGGTGTGGCAAACCCAAAGCCTCGCGCCCCTGGCATTTGGCTACCACCGCCGCAGCCGCGAGCGCCCCAAGCTCAAAGCGGCTTCCTAGATTCTCATTGGTGCTGTCAAGGCTTAAGCCTCCCGGGCCTCCCTGGGGGAGCAGGGATTAAAGACGGTGCTATCAAGCTATCCGCCTCCGCAGCACAAGTTCAATCCCCGGGCAGGGAGTGACCCCCATGACGCGGCAGACCTCTCCTGTCTCCCCGCCGCTCCCCTCAGCAGTGGATCTCAGTGGATGCACCTGTTCTGCTCCCCGCTCTGTCTCTGGTGGCTCCTCTAAACACACACACCCACCTCTGGCCTGCACCCCAGCTCTTGTATGCAGAAATAAATCTTTTTTTTTTTTTAAAGATTTATTTATCCAAGCACTGGGCACAGTCAGAAGCGCAGGAGGGCGAGAGAATTCACCAGAGCCAGAGCGGGGAGCAGAGCAGGCAGAAGAACCGAAGGACACTGCTGAGGGGAGCAGCGGGCGGCAGGAGAGGTCTGCGGGCCATGTGGGACCCTCCTCCGGTGGCCGGGGAGCAGCCGGGGATCGAACCGGCGCTGCAGAAGCTGTGGGCAGCTTCGCAAACCAGCGCTCAACCGCTGCGCCACCGGGGAGGCCCCATAAATAAATCTTTTTTAAAAAAAAAAACTTAAGCCTCCCGCGCAGAGCTGGGCGGCGGCTCCGCTCCCGGTGGCAGTGGCAGGGGCTCACGACGCTTGCGTGGCGCACCGCGCACAGGACGGAGGGGAGGAGGGAGGGTTTCATTTCCACGTATTTGTGAATTGTCTAGTTTCCCCCGATACTGATTTCGTCTCCCGGCATTACAGGCAGAACAAACACTCGACATGACTGAAATCTTCCTGAACGTGTTCAGGCTTGTGGCCCAGCTGCTAACCTCCCGGGAAACCCCGTCGGGCAGGATGTTCCCGCCTGTCTTCGGCGTCCTGGGTCTGCAGGGTCCTCTCTGGGCGACCCGGCCACGAGCTGAGGGCGGGTAGCGAAGCCCCCACTATCACGGGGGCCTGTTTTCCTCTTGTGGTTCTGTCAGCACTTGTCTCAGCTCCTCGGGTGTGCTGCGCCGAGGGCCTGCTTCCCGCCACGTCCTCTCGGTCAACCGACGCGCTCATTACTACATCGGCCCTTTCATGTGACCAATCCTATTTAAAAAAAAAAAAAAAAGATGTATTTCTTTATGCACACAAGAGCTGGGGTGCAGGCCAGAGGTGCGGGGGGTGAGAGGACTCACCAGAGCCAGAGTGGGGAGCAGAACAGGCAGACGGACCGAAGTGCACTGCTGAGGGGAGCAGCGGGGAGACAGGAGAGTCTGCTGCGCCCTGTGGGTGACTCCCTGGCCGGGAATGGAACTCGTGCTGCAGAAGCTGCGGATGGCTTCATAGGTTGCGCCTTTAACCCCTTGTGCCACCAGGGAGGCCCTTTGTGACCAGTGCTGACCCCGCGTTTATTTCCCCCCGCATGAGGGGTGCCTCTCCCTCTCCCTGTGCTCACCACGCGCGAGGCCTTCCCCGCCCTCCCGTGTCCCGCCGCGGCGTGTCCACAGCCCGGCAGCCGCCGGCCGGCAATGTGCTGTCGGGGCGTCCTCGCCGGGCTGCGTGTGCGCGGCCACCCCGCGTCTGAAGGGAGGACGGCGCCGCCCGGGGCTGAGGTGCCGGCGAGGAGGCCGAGGAGGCCGTCTTGTGGACGGCTTGTTGTGTCGTGTTTCTTTGCTCCGTTCCCCGCCCTCGCTGCCTTCCTCTGTGGGTTTTTGGTTCACTTTGCAGCGGCGGGGCCGGCTCCTCTCTCCGCAGAGACGTGCGCATCACCGTCTCGCTCCAGCTGAGCCTCCACACAAGAGCTCCGCGATTTTACTTCTCCGCTGTACTTCACGCCGCCGCACGCGCTCACCTGCTCGCAGGCCGCCCCCACGGACACCCGGCGCGGGCGCGGCTCTTCACAGCGCGGCAGCGCGGCCCCTGGGGCGGCCGCCCGCGCGAGCTCCCGTGAGCCGTCCCGGGGGTCTCCTCTGGACTGCGTCCTCGCCTCTCCCCGCCGCGCGCCAGGGCAGGCTTTCGTGTCTCTTCCCATTGCCCTCGACCGTCTCCCCGCAGCAGCGTGGAAGCAGGGCTCATGGAGACGCCCGCCCTCCGCGGGTGTCACAGTCGGTCTTCAGGGCCTCCCTGGTGGCGCAGGGGGTTGAGCGCGGCGCTGTGGAGCTGTGGCCGCCTCTGCAGCACATGTTCGTTCCCGGCCAGGGAGCTACCCACGCGGCGCAGCAGACTCTCCTGACTCGCCCGCTGCTCCCCTCAGCAGTGATTCTCAGTCAATCCTCCCGTTCTGCTCCGCACTGTCTCTGGTGAGTCCTGTCACCCCCGCACGGCTGGCCCGTACCCCAGCTCCTGTGTGCATAAATAAATCTTTAAAAAAAAACACTTGGTCTTCATCCGTCCATCATTCTGAAGACCCATCTCGCTGCGTGCAGGGTTGTTGGCTGGCAGTTTTTCCCTCTCAGCATTTTGAAGGAGTCCCCCCACCCCTCCAGGCCCACAAGGCTTCCACAGAGCAATCCACAGCCCTGCGGGGTTCCTCATAGGTGACGAGTCATTTTCTTCTTGCTGCTTTCTGACTTGGTCCTGTCCTTGACGTCTAGCATTTGACAAGGGTATGTTTCAGGGTCATCTTCCTTCAGTCGATCTTTCTTTTTTATTTTAAAGCTGTATTTATTTCTGCGCACGCGAGCTGGGGCGCGCAGATGGACGCAGGCCGCAGTGGCCAGCGACAGCCCAACAGCGCTGAGACTTTAACCCCTGCGCCCCCAGGGAGGCCCAGATGCCGCTGTCTCCACGGTCTCTCAATCCACGTCCCGTTCTCTTTTCAGCCTTCCTCTCCTGTTTGTTCCTTTAACTGGCTCCTCACAAATGACCCAGTGCTGAGTTTACCGACCCCCTGCAGGGCCGAATCTGTTGCCGAAGCTCCCTATTGCGTTTTCTGTTCCGGCCTCGTGTTTTTCAGGCCTAGGACTTCGGTTTGGCTCCTGTTTTTGGTTTCTGTTTCCTTTTCAAGCTCCCGGTTTTGCTCGTGCACTTTCTCTGGTTCCCCTCGGTGGCCTGCGCTCTCTTGCATTTCACCGTTTCTTTAGGACGATGACTCTGACTTTGCCATCAGGTGATCTCCATTCTCGGGGCTCAGTCGCTGGAGCTTTGTCAGTCTCTTGGGGGTGCCGCGGCCTGGTTCTGTGGCATCTGCATGAGTTTACCTCGGCATCTGCGCATGCACAGGGCAGACCCCTCTTCAGTCTTCCCAGCACGGCAGGGTCAGCTCTGGACCTGCTGTCAGGCTGTCAGGGAACAGCTTGCAAGGCGCTGCCGGGTCTGCGCTCGGCGGGCTGGTCACTGAGGGCTGGTCAGGTCTCTGGAGACGGGGCTGCCCCTTGGACCTTGAGCGACAGGCTGGCTCCAGAACATGGGTTTCCTTGAGGCCCTGCCGTTGACAGTGGGCCAGTTACCAGTGCAGACAGGTGTGGATCCCGCCGGGTCACCGGAGGGTGCCCTGGGTGGGCAGCGCTGCCCCTGGACCTGGGCCAGGAAGGGCTGGAATGGAGTCCTGGGCGGCTGCGAGCCCACAGCCGAGACCGAGGGCGGTGGACCCAGTTTGGGAGGCACGGGTGGCTGGCCCCTGCTGCTCCCCAAAGCGCTGCATCCACGGGGGTGGGGGAGGGGGCTCTCTGAGTCTTGTCCTAAGTCGGCCACCCTGCAGGCCTCACTCACCTGTGTAATCCCCTAAGTGCCCCCGACTCCGGCCCTGCTGTCTGTCTGTCTCTGGCGAGGCGTTGGGATGACACCAGCCTGATGACACTTCTAACATGCGAAACACTGGCGGGGGGGCCCCCAGGCTGGGCTTCTCTCTGGGGGGCGTCTGGTCACTGAGTTCAGGTTGTCTGTCTCCCCCAGGGGGCTGCTCTCGGCCCTCGCTGAGCCCAGAGCCCCTCCCCAGGCGCTCTGAAGACCGAGCCCCTCCCAGATGGCCAGGCGGGGCAGGGTGAGGAGGTGCTGGGAAGGGCAGGGGTTTGGGAGGTTCCGCAGGCCAGGAAAACCCAGTGGGTGTCTGGGCAACAACTCTGGGCCCTGCAGGGAGCAGAGGCTGGGGCAGAGGCCGGCGGGAAGCCTGCAGCCCGGGGCGGGGGCCAGAACGTCGCACGAGCCCCCCGTGAGAGCAGCCTCGCCTCTCCCGGATCCTCCTGGATGAGCTGTCGAGTCTCCCTCGGGCCCGTTCTGCACCCCGTGCTCCCCCTTTCCACCTCAGGTCCCTGCGGACGGAGCATGCAGGAGCCGCGGCCCGGCCCAGCCGGCCGGCCTCACCTGCACAGCTCCCGTCCTGCCCCGCGACTGGGTGGGCAGCGGCTGGGCCAGCAGCGAGCGGAGGCCGCTTCCTCCTTGGTCGGGAGATGGTACTGGGCAGGCCTGGGGGCGGGTGGGGGCTGGTGGGGACGCGTGGAGCGGACAGGGCGCGGATCAAGAGGGGGCGTCCGTCCGTGCTCGGCCCGGGGCCTGCTGAAACACTTGCCGCCGGCCACAGCCTCCCAGGTGCCCGAGCAGTCAAGGCCCTCCCTGGGGGCAGGCGGCAGAGCCTTGCATGGAGCCTCTCCCTGGACCTTGAGGGTCCTGGAAGCAGACGCGCTGGGGGGCTAGCTCTCCAGAAGGCACACGGGATGGCACCTGTGATGAGCAGCTCCTCCGGGACAGCCCCGGCTCCCAGAGGGACGCGGCGGGGAGGTCCAGCCCCGGGAGGCCAGCCAAGAGCCACGGGCCAGGCCCCGGCTCCGCTCGCAGGGCGGCAGATGGCAGCGGCCTGGCGGGGGAGGGAGCAGCGCAGCTGCAGATGGGCGGCCCCAGTCAGCCCCGGGACCGCAGACCTTTGAGGTCAGGCCCCTCTGTGCCAGAGAAGGGGGGCAGGGAGACCCCACAAGGCAGAGAGGCTAAGTGGGGGACAGCAAACTGCTGTTCTAGGGGCAGCCAGGGTGGGGTGTGCTCTGCAGGAACCCAGGGCAGCTGGTGCGCTGGACACGGCCCCCATGGTCTTGCAGAGCTGCTGCTTGGGGAGAGGCCAGCTGAAAGGGCCTCCCCTTTGGGCACCGGCCACAGCCCCGAGGGACAGGAGCAGCTCCAGGGGCCCTGCATCCCCTTCCCCAGGCCCCTCTGCCCCGCAGGCCTCCTCTGCTGGTCTGTGCCGCGCGTGTCTCCCAGAGGACGGGGAGACAGCAAGCCCTCCCCCTCCTCCCCCGTCCCGAGGGGATTCTGGGTAGAGACAATGGTACCCCGTTTACTGCAGGGCAACTCACAGCCGACACCAACGCCTCGCCAGGTCCCAGGCGTCCCTGCCGGAGGTCGAGACCCCTCCTGGCTGACCCGCCCACCCACCATCGCTCCCACCAACCGATGCATCCTTGCCTGGGAGGCCCCGCTCTCTCCGGCTGTGGGGGTCTGTGCGGGGGAGGGGGGAGCGCTGGCCAGCCCCGCCGTGCCCCCTGGAGGCGCCGGTACTGGGCGGGGCTGGGCCGGGCCACAGACGACCATTCGCAGCAACATGGAGTCGAGTCAGACCACCAGGCCCCCACCCCTGGTTCCCACAGAGGCAGAGAACCCCCCCCCCCCGCCGGCTGTCCCTCCATCTGGGCTCTCCACCCTGCGAGACCCTGTCCCCTCGGCCCCCGCCTGCACACGTGCCCCCTCCTGCTCGCCCTCGGGGGGCCACCCAAGGGCTGGGATGGTGGGGGGGGGCTCAGGCTCACAAAGGTGGGAGCGCTGGCCTCGGGCTTCCAGCGGGGCAGTCACCGCTGCCCCAACAGCTCTCAGGTGGGCTCCGTGGGGGCATGCCCACTCCAGAGGGGCTGGGACTCTGTGCCCCAGCCCGCAGGGTGAGGGTCCTTCCTCCCCACAGCTTCCCCCACCTCCCAGGGACCCTCTCAGGTGGCCTGGCCCCAGCCTGGGCACTGCTCCCCCTTGTGGCTCTGGAGACAGATGTCCAGCCTGGGGTTGGGACATGCCCAGACAGGCAGAGGGGCCCTCCTCACCCCGCTGCCCGTCCCGGCACGCCTGGTTGCCTGTAGGAGTGACACCGCCTGGGCATGCAGGCAAAAAGGGTGCAGGGGGCCTCCCGGGGGGCGCAGGGGTTAACAACAGCGCTATCAAGCTCTCGCCAGCACGAATACGATCCCGTTAGGGAACAACCCACAAGGCGCACACACCTCTCCTGTCCCCCACTGCTCCCCTCAGCAGTGGATTTCAGTGGCTCAGCCTGTCCTGTTCCCCACTGTTTCTGGGGAGTCCTCTCACACCCACACCTCTGGCCTACATCCTGGTTCTTGTGTGCATAAATGAGCGCGCCCCAGGGCCCCGCGTTACCCCGCCTCCCTCTGCCGAGCCTTGGGCCTCGGGTGGCTGCCACCAGGACCCATGTCCCAGTCAGGCTGGTGTCTGGAGCTGGGGGCCAGTTTCCACAAACTTGTCTAGGAGCAGACGACGGGTGTCGGGGCTGAGAAACAGTGTCCGGGGGCCACCCCCGCCCCCACCCAGCAGGCAGACCCCCTCGTTGCTGCTGACTGGGGACGCAGGCAAGGGCCTGCTGAGACGGGGCGCCGGCCACCCCATGGGGTGTGCTCCTGGTCACGGGCGCTGGCAGCGGGCGGCCTAGACTGTGTCCGGGCAGGGTGTCCTCCCGCCCCCTTAGGAGCCGCGCACATGACTGTCGGGCCGCAGGCACCCGCCCTCGCCTGCACCGACCCTTCCTCCCCCTTTTCCACGCGAGGCGGCTGTGCCCGAGCACTGGACCCGCTGGGCGCTGGGACGAGGCTGCTCCCGGAGCGGCTCCGAGGGACGTGCCCCAGGCCTGGGCGGTGGGCACAGCAGGGCGTGGGGACCGGACAGCGGCTGACACTGCAGCCCTGGTGTTTGGCTGTTGTCACTTAAAGGGGCGGCCGCTGAGCGGGGCGCGGGCAGGCACAAGGCGCAGGAGCAGACTGGTTTATTAGGCTGGGCGCGCCCTACAGCACTTGGCCAGCGCCTGCCTGGCGGGGCCGTCCCGGGAGCGGGAATCCCCACCCCGCAGTCTCGAGCCGCAGGACGCACTGGCCTCCAGCGCCACAGCCACGCATCGGCAAACACCCTGGCACCCACATGTGGCCCAAACCCCCTGGGGGGAGCGTCAGTCCGCAGGGCCTCCCCGCGGCGGCTGGCAGCAGGAGGGCCGCGGGCGGGGCCTACGAGCGGTTCAGGGTCTGGAAAAGCCTGGAGATCTGCAGCATGACGGGTCCCGTCTCGGGATCGTTCATCCACTGGGTGCTGTTGAGGGGGTTCTCCAGCATGTCCTCAAAGGCTGCGGGGAGACGCCGTGTGAGGGCGCCGCAGGGAGGCTTGTGAGGGGGCCGGGGCCGCCCCGTGCACCAGAAGCCCCACCCCCACCGAATGCTGCAGGCCACACGCGCCCACCAGGCTGGACCGCCTGAAAGGAGGAGCCCTGAGGCCCTCACTGGCCGCGCACCCCAACATAGCCAACACTGAAACAGCCCACGCCCCCGGGGCGCCCAGCCACAGAGCGGCAGTGCGGGCTGCTGCACGTGTGCGGGTGGCCGCAGACAGCAGCCACTTCCCTCCCGCCTGGAAGCCGAGAGCCGCGGCCACAGAAGGGGGGTGGGCAGCACCCACAGAAGGGGGGTGGGCAGGACCTCACAAGGGGTCCAGGTGAGCGCTGGAGGCAACCCTCCTCCCGGGCAGCTGGCTGAATGAAAAGGGGGCTGGGGGGACACCAGAAAGGGAGCCGCTGTGGACAGTGCCTCGAGGGCCGGCCATGCCGGCCACACATATGTGGGAGCAGCGTCTGAGACCAAAGACCAGGTGAGACCCGCACGCAGGACGTAGCACACAGGAGCCCCTTCCACAGGAGGGGCGGGGCGGGGCGTGGCCGGGGCCACCCGTCCAGGGTCAGAAGGCCACGTGCTCCGGTGCGGGGACCCAGCCGCCGGCCCGCAGGGGGTGCACATACCCAGCAGCGTCTTGGGGTTGGTCAGGCCCAGCTGCACCACGGGGTTGTCCAGAATGGCCTGGAAGAGCGGGCTGTCGGGGTCAATGCCCTTGTCCAGCTCCTCGGGGGAGGGCTTCCGGTCCCCCAGCAGCCACTCACACTGCAAACCCCGAGAGAGCACGTGAGCCGACCCCCGTGCCCCAAAACCCGCCCCGGCTGGGCGCCTGCGCTCAGCACATGCCTCACCCAGGCCCACGAGCACTGTGACGGCAGCTGCTCTGCCACACGCGCGCGCCATGTGTACTCGTGTGTGTGCGTGTGTGTACGTGTATACTTGTGTGTGTGCTCAGTGCAGCCGTATCGGTGCTGGGAAAAGAGATACTGTTGTGGGGGGGCAGCCCCCGAGGGCCCCTCACAAGGACAGGCACCAGCAGCGCCACTGCTGGGCAGCTACAGCATGAGGGGCCTGGACACCCCACGGACAGGCCGTCTAGAAAGCCGAGGCCCAGGGCTGTGCCGGGGTTGAAGCGGGGGCCCTGCTGCCCCGCCTGCCCGCAAGGATGCGGCACTCACAGCGGCGCTCTGCTGGTTGTTGTTCACCCGAAGGGCGTCCACCACCTCCTTCTCGTCGAACCCCATCTCCATCAGCGAAATGACGGCCTAGGAAAGACCCCAAGGAGCGCTGAGCCGAGCCGCCCGCCCCCAACCCCCAAGGCCAGTGCCGGGGCCCGTCCCTCACGACTTTCCAGTGGGCAGCGAGCCGGGCCAGGCAGCGGGGGCGGCCGCTCACAGGCCGGGGAGGCCGGGCCCGCACCCCAGGGGCCAGCCCAGGCGAGCTTCCTCGCAGCAGAGGCCCGGGACCGAGCGGCAGCCGGGGTGTCTGGCTACCTGTGGGAAAGGGCCCTTCTTCGGGATTGGTCTCTAGAAAGAAACTGGGGGCCTCCCTGGTGGCGCAGGGGTTAGCCTCAGTGCTGTGAAGCCATCGGCAGGCTCTGCAGCAGGAGTTCGACCCCCGGCCAGGGAGCTCCCCACACGGCAGGGCAGACCTCTCCTGTCGCCCACTGCTCCCCTTGGCAGTGGGTTTCAGTGGATCCACCTGCTCTGTCCCCCACTCTGGTGAATCCTCTCACCCCCCACCTCTGGCCTGCACCCCAGTTCTTGCATGCATAAATAAGTAAATCTTTAAAAGATACATACAAACAGGTGGAAGTGAAAATAACAGGAAACGCCCCACATCAAAGCTACAGCCGCGGGCACGGCCTTGCAGGGACGCACACCCAGGCAGGCTGGGGCGGGGCCTCGGGCAGAGCCGCTCGGGACTCCCACGAGAAAGCGACCCCGGTTCCCAGGGCCTGTCTGAGCCTCGATGGCCACAAGCAGCTGTGCAGCCCCAGTGCCCCTGCCCCCGGGAGCCCCGGCCTACCCGCTGGCTGCGAAGCACCCCCGGCAGGCACCTGAGACCTGGCCGCAGGGGCGACCCACGGACACAGCGCCACAGGAGCTCATCACGGGCCCAGCAAGCAGGGCGGGGCCAGGCGAACTCGGAGGCCAGCGCCTCCAGACTGGGAGAACCCGGGAGCCGAGCCCCTAACAGATGCAGCCGCCGGCCAGGGGCGGAAGCTCCGGGAGGCCACACACAGACACCCCGCTGGGGGCGGGCACCCCAGACACGGCAGGAACTGGTAAGACACAGCGAGGGCCCAGAGAGGCCGGGGCTCCTGGGCCAGGGCTCGAGCGTGGCAGCCGCAGCCCACCCGCGCCCAGGCCCTCTGCACCACCTACCCGAGCGTCCGCGCGGAACTCCCGTTTCCTCCGGATCCTCCTAAAGATCTCAGTCAGCTCATCCCTGGCCTCCTCACCCCCCTCGCTGGTCCCTGCGGCAGCCTCAGCCCCCGCCGTCCCCAGCGAGGCCTGACCAGGCAGAGGTGCGTCGATGGCAGGGTCCTCCGCGTGCTCGATCAGCCACTCCATGGCCTGGGGCACCGACATGCTGGAAGGCAAGTGTACCCTCCAGCCGGGCGCTGCGCCTCCCTGCCCGCAGAGCGCCCCGGCCGTGGCTGCCCTGGCTCAGCGCGTCGGGTGCGGGAGATCTGGCCTCGCCCCGCTGCCCCGGCCGGGACACCCACCTAGCGGCTGCGGGCACCACACGGAGGCACACGAGCGCGGATTCAAAGCAAGGGGATGGCTGGCCTGGCCTGCGGTCGACAGATATGTGCTTCGGCCCCCGCGAGCCGCAGCGCAAGGGGGTGATCATGGAACCAGCGAGACCAGCGCCCTCCTGCGTGAGCCCAGCCCCGGCGCGCAAGCACGGGCCTCCGCGCAGGGAGGGGTGAGGAGCCCAGGCCACGCGCCACGTACTGGTTCAGCCGAAGGGCCTTGGTGGCCCGGCTCTCGGGGAAGCCCATCTCCGTGAGCTGCCGCAGGGCCGCCTCGTCCACCCGCTCGTCCTCGTCCTCGTCCAACATGGCTGCGGCGACAGGGGCGCATGAGGGCCAGGCCGGCCAAGGCAGCTCCCAGCGCCCTTCGCCCAAGCGCCCGACACCCGTGGCCATTCTCTGGAACCCGAGTCCTGACCATCAGCCCCGGGCCACGAGGAGCGCAGGGGCCCGCCCAGCCATGGGGGCAGCCCCGGGAGGGAGAGACCGACCCCCTCGGGCGGTGCAGACGCAGCCAGAGCAGGCTCTTACCGTTTGCCTTCTTGAATAACTCCACCGCGTCGGGGTTCAGCGCCAACAGCTTCTGAGCCACCTCAATGAGAGACACCAAGATTTTCCGGAGCTCTGTCTGGAACTGCAAGGAAAGAAGAGCCATTTTTCCAAATGCCCAGCAGGCCCACCTGGGGGCACCACGCGATGGCACTGGGACTGGACGGTGGGGCGGGTGAGTCTGGGGAGCGGGCCCCGGGCACACACAGCCTCTCGCCAGGGTGAAGGACCCAGCCCCTGGCCAGTGGCACCAACAAGCTGTCACCCGGCCAAGAGCGACCACTCGGACGACACGTGGCAGCCACGTCACCTCCCCACCAGCCCCACCTGGATGTGCTGGGGCTCATCCAGCCCCTTCCACAAGCAGCCTGGCCACCCCATGAGACACACGCAGGCGCCAGAGGCTGAGGCCCTGGCAGTGTGGGCCTTCCGGAAGAGCCCCGAGGTCGTCCCCGAATGCAGCAGGCTGCCCCTGCCCAGCCCCCTGACCACAGCCCCCACCACGCCACAGGAGCCAGACTCTGTCTCCGCGACGCCCCAGGGCGCCTCCCCTTCCCGCCCTGCCTCAGGGCGTCTTTCCAGCCTTTCCTCAGAAAGTTTTGGTGTCAGAGACGCTGCTGCAGCAGGACCCTGAGGCCAGCACCCCCCTCCCTGGCAACCCAAGGGCACTCACGTCTCTCACGCTGGTCTGGGCCACGGCCCGGTCCGCGTCGCAGGAGGGCAGGCCGGCGGTGGCTCGGAATATGGCCTCTCTGTCCGGGGCTTTCTGGTCCTGCTTTTTCTGCAAAGAAGAGAAAGCCAAGGTCAGGGGTGGGCACAGGCGCAAGTAGAGAAAAGGCCGGGCGCCCAACGACGGCGCTCTAGTCGAAAAAGGAGATGGCGCGGGAACCCCAGGGGCCCCAGGTCGTGTGCAGGCCGAGGGGCAGGGGCGGCGGGGCGGGCACAAACAGGGCACACGCCGGCCCCTCTGCCTGGAGCCCGCCCCGAGGCGGAGTGGGACCCGCCAGGGGCCAATGCTGAGGAGCAGGGCGCCGGGGCAGCAGGGCGCGGGCTGAGCCAGGAGCACGGGCGCCGGCCAGGACGTGGCACCGGGCTCAGCAGGGGAGAGGCCTGTCGGTGGGCACAGGGAGACCCGGGGCAGGGGTCGTGACGCTTGACTCTGTCAGGGGCGTGCGCTGCTCGGCCACGGGGGCCTGCGGGGGCCGCGTCTGCAGTGCGAGCGCAGCCCCCTGTGACAAAGAAACCCCGAAACAAACACTGGAAAAATGAAGGCGACCACATGGGGGGAACATGTCCAGTCCCGGGGTGGGGTGGGGGTCAGGCCCGCCACAGCCAGCCAAGGGCCGCCACGTCAGAGCCGAGTCTGGAGTCGCTCAGAAAGCAGCTCCCAGCAAACGGAGCCCCAACACAAAGAAGAAAATGACCAAAAAGCAGGCCTCCCCGGTGGCCTGGGGTACACCTCAGTCTGTCACCGCCGTGGCCTGAGTGCAACCCCGGCCAGGGAGCTGCCCACAGGGCGCAGCAGATCTCGCCTCTCTCCCGCTGCCCCCTCAGCAGTGGATCTCAGTGGATCAGCCTGTTCTGCTCCCTGCTCTGTCTCTGGGGAGTCCTCTCACCCCGCCACCTCTGGCCTGCACCCCAGCTCTTGTGCGCATGAATATAAAAAATAATAACTACATCTTCAAAGCCCAGTGGCGCTCCAGAATTCCCTCTCCTGAGCAAGGACCGCTGGGCTGAACGTAAACAGTAAACCCAGCCCCCCCCCCGCAGGACAGCTGCGCGCTGGGCAGAGCAGGCTGCAGGGGCGGGGGCCCGGCATCGCGGCAAGATTGAAGGGACTCAACATTGTAGACGCGTGTATCGCTCTGACCTTGCCAACGAGCACTTCACAAACAAGCCCGTGTGGGCGGCGGGCGCAAACGCGTGTGCAAACGGGACAGGACAGTGGGCGAGCAACCCCCAAGGGCCGCCACAGCCAGCGAGTGAGCCCCACCCTGCAGCTGTGCGGCCCAGATCTGCCTTCGGGGGCAGGGCAGGGCACACCTGCCAGCTGGGCCAGGGGTGGACCAGATAAGGGCAACGGAGCCCAGGCACCACTCCTGGGCGCTGGCCCCAGAGGACACCCTAAAATAGCCCTTCCCGCCATGTCCAGGCTGCCGGGCGCTCCCCTGGCATCTCAGAGCCCTGCCCCTGGATAAGGAGGAGCTGCACGGGGCAGGGGGGCAGCGCCTGACCAGCTGGAAGGAGGAGGGACAAGCTCCAGGGACCCTGCCCTGCAGGACCCTGACCATGTCCTTTGGCACCCATCCCGCGCCGTGTCCTTGCTGTGGGCGCTTTCTGACCCTCCTCGGCAGGACAGCGGCAGGGCCCTCGCTGCAGCCAGGCTATGCTGGGTGCCGGTCATGCAACCCGACCAGGGCCGCGGGCTCAACTGACAGACAAATGCGTCCCCCGGGATCGCGGACAACAGGCCTGCGGACACCGCTGTGCACGGCGCGGCGGCCTCTGGGGACGCTCACCTTCTCTTCCGCCGAGACGTCGGCCATCTTGGGGAGCGGCGCCGGGGCCCGCTTCTTAATCAGCAGCAGGACGTCTGCAAGAGACGGGTCGCTCAACCTGGGCACCGACCCGCGTCAGGAGCAGCACGGTGCAGGGCAGAAAAGCGTCCACCCTTCCCTCTCCCCCCCGCAGGCTCTGGCCCGCGAGAACCCAGCTGGCATCCCCCGCAGACGGCGCCCAGGAGCACAGGTACGGCCGGCCGGGCTGCAGAGGGGCTCGCCAAGGGCCCTCACTTCCACACTCTGTCTGCGGGGCTGGAGTTGAGTCACCCTCATGCTGAACCCAGTCCCCCCACAGCCCCTTGTTTGGAGCTCGCCACCCGGTGCTGCCCGGTGCCACCCTCACCTCCGTCCTGGACGTTCTCTTCCAGCACCGTCTTGGCGTCGCTCAGCACCCGCTCAGAAGCTGCGTGGATTAGCTTGTGCTGGGCAACGCTTTTGGGGTCCTCCAGGCTCCCATGAGCACACTGCAGGGGTGACATGTCTCAAAATGCATCGTGCAAGCGTAACACCAGTTGTTTAGCTCCCAACCCCCTGCCACACTGCGAGTTCACCTCCTTTTCTTCCTGAAAAGTCAAGCGGATGACTCTAAGCCTCCCCCCCACCCCCAGGGTGGGCATGACACGCCCCCCCCACATGACGTGCTACCAGCTAGGTCCCCGGCGGGCCACAAGCACCCGCAACAGTCGGCACCCAGGCCCCGTCTTTCATCTGAAAGGAGCTGGGATTGAAAGTAAAATGGGCCATTTCTGGTGCCAGCCTGCCGCGGGGCACCCTCAGGCACTGTCTGCGGGCACTGTCTGCTCGCCCCCGCCTAGAGCGGGACAGAGGCCCAGCGGCCTCTGGGACACATGAGCAGGGGCCAGAACCCCGGGTCTGGGGGGGTCGCCGACTCCCTCACCCATGCATAGAAGGCTGAGGAGTGGGCTCCTGGTGTGCATTACCCACGCTGCGCCCCGTCACCCGGGAGCCCACCTGTGGCTGAGCACTCCAAGCTCCATGGGGGGCAGGGCAAATGGACACCTGGCCCCCACCTCCCATGCGGGATGAGCAGAACCCGCCTGGACGCAGGTGAAGGAGGCTCTGGGGTGTCACATGCTCAGAGCTGGGGCGGGGCGGGGCATCAGCAGAGCAGAGCAGAGCCGAGCCACTGTACCCAGAAGGGCACCCCAGTCCCCGAGTCAACAGCAAGGGAGCTGCTCGCCCTAGAATGCGAGGCGGCTGGGCTAGTAAGCGCTGGTCAGTCTACGAGACTCGCCGCCCCGCACGGGCTGCCTGAGAGCAGGTGGCGGCTCCGGCGTGCGCGGGGGCCTGCCAATGCACACCCGTGGGCTCTGGGGGCGGGAACCGCCACCCTAGTGTGTCCAGCATGGCCAAGAGCCCACCACCTCCCTGCAAGGACATGCTCTGCCCTGCTCCCTGTGAGGGTGCCCTGACCTGCTTGAGAAACCACAGCGACCCCCTTTGAGTCACAAGGAGACCCCTCCTCAACAGGGGTTCACCCCCAGGAGTCCCACGGGGAGCCCCTCGTGGACCCTAAAGGTAGGGAGGAGGTGCAGAACCCCAGCCCTGGGATGTCACTGCATGCAGCCACGAGACCCCCACCGTGTCCGGGGGATGGTGCACCCATGGGGTGCTCCCGAGCCCCGATCTGGCTGCCCACAGAGCAGGAGGCACTGGGGCTCACACTCAGCCCTCAGTCCGGTCATCGGGCGCCTTACATGGGCCCTGGGGGCAGCCCCCACCCGGGGGGACGGCAGAGAGGAGAAAGGCGTCAGGACGATGCCGCCTCCACGACGCCCTCAGCGCCAGCCCAGACCTCACGCCGCGCCCGGCCGGCGCAGGAACCGGCTCCTTTCCCCGAGGCGCGCGGGCGGGGCGGGCCCAGCCCGCCGGGACCCCGGCCGGGGAAGGACACCCCGCGAATCGCCGCGGCCACGACCGGCGAGTCCGCTGAGCGCCCGGCCCGCGGGCTGAGCGCGCGGGGGGCGCCGGAGCCTCGGCCCGGGCGCGACGGGCTCGGAGGTCCAGGGCCGCGCAGGGGCTCGGCCGGGGAGCAGGCCCGGGGGCGGGGGCCGGGCGGGGCCGGGGCGGGGGCCGGGGGGGAGCCGGGGGGGGCCGGGCGGGGGCCGGGGCGGGGGCCGAGGGGGGCCGGAGGGGGCCGGGCGGGGACCGGGCCGGGCCGGGCCGGGCGCTCACGTGCTTGAGGCAGCGCTCCTTGAGCGCCTCCACCGCGGTGTCCTCGGCCGCCTCCTCCAGCCACTCGGCGCCGTCGGCCGCGCAGACGTGCAGCCGCAGCACGCGGCCCGCGAAGATCTTCTCCTCCTGCACGAACATCGCGCGGCCGCCGCCCGCCGCCGCCGCCCGCCGCCGCGCCCGTGAAGGTCACCGGGCGGGGCGGGGCGGGGCCAGGCCGCCCGCGCGCTCCCTCGCTGGGCCGCCGCCCCGCCCCGCCCCGCCCCGCCCCGCCCCGCCCCGGCCCCGTCGGCCGCCACCCGTCCCCGCCGCGGTCCGAGCGGTCGCCTGGCCGCGCCGCCGCGCCGGAAGTGCGCGCCCGCCGCCTGCTGGGAGATGTGGTCCTCCGCGCCGGCCGCGCCGGAAGTGCGTCCCCGCTCGCCCGGAGCCTCCCGGGAGTGGTGGTTCTCTGGCTGCCTCCGCGCCGGAAGTGCGGGCCTGCGCCCCGGAGCCTGCCGGGAGGCGTAGTTCTCTGGCGGCCGCCGCGCTGGAAGTGCGCGCTGCGCCCCGCAGCCTGCCGGGACTTGTAGTTCGCCCGCCGCCTCTCCCGCGCACGCCCACCCCGCGCGGCCGGGGCGCTGGGGGCGCCGACCCCCGCGGCGAGCCCCGAGCGGGAGCCGCGCAGAGGCCGCCGCCGGGGCGCAGTTCGGCGGCTGAGCGGACTCCGCCCGTCTGCCTTTGAGGCGGCGGCCGCAGCGCTCCGGCCGCCCGGGCCGCCCCTGGAGCGCGCTCTGGGCCGCCCCGCCGCCTGCCGGGCGCGCTTCCCGCGGGGGCCGAGCCGCGGGGGCCGGGGCGCCAGGGGGCGCCGGCGAGCCGTGGCCGCGGGCCGGGTCTGGCCGCGGGGCGCTCGCCCACCCCGCGCCCCCGCCCGGGCGGCCCCTCCGGGCGGCCTCAGGGGAGACGCCCTCCCGCGGGGTGCCGCGGAGCCCCGTTTGAGGAGCACAGCGCGGGGCGGTGGGGAGCGGGGAGCCGGGCCCGCGGGACCCCCGACGCCCGGCGGTGGCGGACGGGGCTGGACCCCGGCGTGGGGGGCTGGTCCCCGCACGAGGCGGGCCGGGGGTCCCGGTTCTCGGGTCTGACCCCTGCACCGCCCCCACATCCAGCACCGCGTCCGCCGGGCCACGGGGCCCCACAAACGGGGCCGGGGGCGTCAGACGTCGGCATGCGGGACCTGGGGGCCAACCCCACCTGGAGGCCCTGCTGGGAGGACGGGGGGGGGGGGGCGGGGGGGGGAGCGCGGGCGGGGCAGCAGCGCCTGGAAGGGCCGGGCCCCTCCTCCCGGCCGTGTCCCCTCCGGGGCCGCGGGGGTGGGCGCAGGGCCCTCCCCAAGTCCGGGGCGCCCGCTCCGAGAGCCTCAGCTGCAGCACCTGCAAAGCGCCGGTTTCAGGGGGGCTGCTGCGGCTCGGCCGCCTGCGTGGGGGCCCCACTCCGCAAGCAAGGGGTCGCGCGCCCTGTGTCTGCGGGTAGGGTGGCCCCGCGGCCACGCTGTGCCCTCGCGGGCGGTCGCCCCACCTCCCGGCCTCGGGCCTGGCCTGTGGGAGGGCGTCCGGCGGGGCCTCGGTCCAGCCTGCCCAGCGTCCCTGTTCTCAGTGCCCCGCAGCCCGGCCAGGCCCCCGTGCGCTCCCAGGCCCGCAGCGTGGCCTCCGGCACCTGCCCCGGCGGCCACGGCCCAGGAGTCACCTCGGTCCCCGCGGGAGGCCTCAAGCCCGGGAGGGCCAAGAGGAGCCAGAGCTCAAGTGGCTGAACCTGCCCCACCCCCAGAGCCCCGGGCGGTGGCGCCCCCGTGCCCGTCCTCGCCCTCTCGAGCCTGCCTGGCCGTGGCCACCAGCGGTGGGGCGGGGTGCCCCAGGCCTGGTCAGGTGGGGCGGTGGCCCCACGCCGGCCTGTGTCTGCCCTGCCCGAGTGGTCACCCACCCCACCCGGGGCCAGGCCTGCACAGGCGGCCCCACCTGCCCGGCCCCCTTCTGGCAAGACCAGGGCTGGGGGGCGCCTGGCCCCGCTTCAGCCAGGGGTTCTGCTTTGGGGTCGTTCACAGGCTTAGGGAGGGGTGGCTGCCGGGAGACCCCAGCCTTCCCGCCCCGGCCCCAGCCGGCTGGCCTGGCTGGACGGGCGCTGTGGCTGGCACGGGCACCGCATGCAGATGGGCTGGAGGCGGCGGGAACACAGCGTTCCCTGGGGCCGGGCCAGGCGCAGGCGCCCTCGCCTCCGGGCCCTGGACAGCAGCGCGGGGTTCCCGGGCGCTGCCGCCGACTCGCGGCCACGGCCCTGGACGGCAGGCGGCAGCACTGAGGGCCTCGGCCCGGCTCCTGCTCACCCCGGCCGGACGCTGGTCTGGTCACCCTCCGGCCGGGCGGCGGGGCCTGGGCTGGGCCTGGGCTGTGCTGGCCCCGCCTGCTTCTCCACCCCACGGGGCGGGGCGCGGGCCTCTGTCCACGCTGCCCACCTGGCCGCACCTCCGGGCTTGTTCTGAGGACGAGAATCGCGTGGGGCTGAAGTGGGTCCCCAAGGACGGGTCCACACCCGAGTCCCCCACTGTGTCCTGCGGGGCCGAGGCACGGGGGGAGCGGAGGGCTAAGGGGGTCGCCTGCAGCAGGCCGGCTGCTGTCCCCGAGAGGAGGCCACGCTGGGAGCAGAGCAGCATGGGCCGCAGGCGGGTGCCGGGACGCGGGGCCAGGGCTCCCCACGCGGCCTCAGGGCACCTGCCGGCCGGAGCTCCAGCAGCAAGAAGAGCCACGTGTGTCCCCGCAGCCCCGTGGATGCCAACTGTGCTGGCGGGAGGAGCCTGGAGCCCGCCCCGGCCCCTGCTCAGAGCCCCGCGCCTACCGGTAGGACCGGGGAGGTCAGGTTTGGCCCCGGGGCCCTCGCGCCTTCGTCGTCGAGTTAGCGCTCAGGGCGTCCAGACCTAGAGCCAGCCTCGGCGCACCCGCGGGAAGGCTTCACTTTCCGGGGGAGCCGTGGCCCCTTGCAGGGGGCGAGAGACCTGCGGTGGAATCCGGAGGGGTGGTGCTTGGGCCCCGCCTCCCGGCCTGGCCACTGCTGGGGGCCACGCGGGGCTCCACAGCCAGAGGACCCGCGCCCACCTCCGCCAGGAAGCCCCGCTGTCCCAGCCCACCCGCCCCGATCAGCAGCTGGTTGCTCCAAAGGCACGGGGACCCCCTCCCCGGTCTGGGGGTGGATGCACAGGACCCCCGCCCCGCTCCCCAGGTGGAGGCCGTGCAGGATCTCCAGGTGCCTCTTTGCCTGCAGCCCGGCAGGGCGGGCCTGGTGGTGCAGGCTGGGAGGGCTCCTGGAGGCAGCGGTCAGCCTCTCCCCACCCCACCTCAACTACAGCCGCCAGGAGGAGGGACGCAGCGCTCCCCGCACTGGCCCTGGGCCTGGCTGTCCCCCCACTCCCCACCACTGCCGCACTCAGGAGGGACCAGCCTGCAGGTTGTAAGCTGCTCAGAGTGCTGGGGGACCTCTAAGCCGGGGCGCAGGTGAGGAGGACCCCAGGCTGGAGGGGAGGCAGTAGAATCTGTGCGGCTCCCCAGCCCCCATCAGGGCGGGCCGCCTGAGGTGCCCCCTGCAGCTGACCCCACTCACGGGGGCCCCTCTCCCCAGCGGGTGCCACCCCAGTCCCTCCAGGGGCCTGGGGCGAGGGGGTGGGGAGCAGGCCTGTGTGGCTCCAGGGTGGGCCCGGGCCCCCCCGGAGAGACTTGGCCAGTCGGGACCCCGCCCAAGGAGGGGGCTGGTCTCGGTGCCAGGGACTGGGGGGCTGGCCCTGCACCCTAACCTTGCGCCCAGCACAGGGCCGAACCCCAAACTTCTGCCCCCTCCTCCCAGGAGGGTGCTGCCAGGACGCCTTCGCCGCTCCGCACCAGGCCAGCAGCCGGCTCTGAGCCGGTCCCAGCCGTCCCCGGGGTGGGCGCCCGTCGGCCGAGCGCGGGAAGGCAGCCTGGTCGCCGGTACTGGCCGCCGGCCCCGCCGCACAGAGGCTTCAGCGCTGCCCACCTCGCCCCGAGGCGCCGCTCCCCGCACGCGGCTCCAGCCGGTTCCTGGGAAGGCCGTGCTTGACCAGGCCCCTCGCCGGCTGTGGAGTCACGTCCCGCCCTCAAGTGCCCGGGGAAAGTGAAGTGGGGGGCGCCTGGGCGCTGGCAGGCGCGCAATGTGGGGGTGCAGGGCCCGAGCGCTGCCTGGGGCGAGGGAAAGGCCGCAGCAGCTCCGGCCCTCAAGGGGAGGCGGGAGCAGCGCTCCCCTAGCTCGGGAGCAGGCTTCAGAGGGCTCAAGCCGGGGCTCCCAGGGAGAGACTGTGGGCTCCGCCTCGTCCCACAGACCCTCGATCGGGACCCTCGATCCACCACCCCCTTGCTGATGGCGGCAAAACAGACCCGGTGAGGCTAACGAAGAGCCGAGACGGGGTCGGGCCGAGGACTCCCAGCCCTCCCTGGACGGCCCCCGGCACCCCCATCTGCACGCACGCCCGCGCCTCGTGTGCGCCCACGGCATGTTGGGGGTCGGTGCCTGGAGCGCCCTCCCCGTCCCGCCCCCCCCCACCCCGAAGGTCTGGAGTCGCCCCGCCCCCGAGGCGTCAGGACAGAAAGTCGAGGATGGGCCGAGGGTCCCCCAGCCCGAGGCGGCCCCCCTCCGGGCCGTGGCTGCGGGCAGGGAGGCCTCCCGGGCGGCCTCAGCAGGTGGGTTTTGTTGCCAAGAGAGCAAGATCGGCCCCTCTGACGAGATCGGGGCGAGCACCTCACTGCGAGGCCCCAGACGGCACCGCTCCGCGTTCAGCCGGGCCGAGCCGGGCTCCTGGGGCGACAGGCGGCCTCGGGCTGCAGCCAGGCGGGCGGGGGCGGGGGCGCCACGGGCGGCCTGGGCGAGGGGAGGCAGGCCCGGGGTGCGGAGGTGGGGACGGGGCCGAGCTCCGGGCCCCCAGGCGGCGGCCCTGCCAGGGTGCCCTCCCCCCAGCGGCCGGCGCAGTGCGGGCTGGGGGCGTCCTGGGCCCGCGACCCCTCCAGGTGGGCATGGGCCAGGTGGCTGGCGGGGGCCCCCTGGCTGCCGTAGGTACTGGCCGCTCCGGTCAGCCGGCAGGAGCCCGCCGAGAGGCGCCCGGGAGGCCGGCCGGGGCCGGCGCAGGCTGAGCTCG